CAATAGAAATACATGAAAAGGACACAAATGAATGAATCACAAAAGCATAGAGAAACAATCAAGAATATGATTGAATTCGAGGGCATAGCGGATTGAAAGAAGAGCCATTATATTAGGAAAGTTGTGGAAAGTAATAAGAGAAAGGATGAGAATCCGGTGGACACGTGTCTGAGAAGTGTTGGACTGGAGTTCTGAAAATTTCGGGAGGTGTTGAGCTGATAAAGGCTGTGCATGCCCATGCATGTCAACCAACCTGACGTCACTTAGCCGCTTGTTTTGCTATGTCTTTTGTTTGCTTGTACAAATTAATATCCTCTGATTCCCCCTTACACGTTCTTGGTCCTTACCACAATGAATTACTTTGGAATATTTCTTTCCTACAAATTTTTACTTTTGGAAGCAGGACAAGGAAATGCTTTCACTAAAAGGGCAATTTTTTTTTATTGTAAAAACAAAGACAAAGCACAGCATTAAACATTAATATATAAAAAGTTAACTATGGGCATAAAATAATTTAGGAAAAAAAATAAAAAAAATGTGGTATGTATTTGTTAGCAGAAAAGGTTGGGCGATAGTCGGTTTTTTTTGCGACAAATCATGTGATATATTACATGTTCCCGAAACGGTGAACCGGCTTATCAGATAATCAACAGCATAAAGTAGATTTATAAAAAATGGGATACTGAACCTGTGTATAATATATATATATATATATATTTAATTAACATATTAGTATTAAATGGACATAATTTTTTAAAAATTTTCAAATTGTTTAAAAGAATTTAAATAAATTTTTATTTTTTTATTATATTTAATGAAAGTTTTTTATTTTTATTTTAAATTAAATAAATTTTTATGATTGACCATTAATTAATTATTCTTAATCAAAATTATTATTTAATATTTTTATACTCACATCACACTGATATTAAGAGTTAAAATATCATGTAAATATATTATTATATTATGTAAAATGTTACGTTATTATCTACAATAATGTAATATATTAACATGTTAATACCATATAATATAAAATAGCAAGTGATGTTTTTGTTAACGACCATTAATCAATTGTAATCATAAAGATTTATTTAATTTAAAATATAAATATAAAAATTTGATTCAATGTAATAAAAAATAAATTATTTTAATTTTATTGAATGAGTTTTTTCAAGTACTATGCCCATTGAATTTTATTATTATAATTCAATTTTCTTGAATTTTACAAATTGCTAAATACAAAATATCAAAATTTATGAAAATTTACTACTTGTATTGATAAAATATTTTGTGAAATATTTTATTTCTATTATTTTTTATTTAAAAATATAAAAATGGAAAAATATAGTGATAAAATTAAATAATAGTGACAAACATCAATATTGAATTGTCAAATTTCACCTTAACCCATATGAAATAAGATTTTCTACGCAATGCATTGAAAATAAGTACACGGTATATAACTTAATTATAAAAAATAAGTTAAAAATATATATGGTTAGGACAAGCATTAATCAAACCCTTTTTTTGGGAGACGCACGATTTGATCAAGAAGGCCTGATGGAAGAAGTTGCAAATTGTATGTTGTAGTTACAATTGCAGGGTAAGGCTTCTCCACAAATGGAAACAAGTATGGAAAGCATAAACGGCAGAAGAAGGTTGATGGTGCCGTTTAAGTTATGTCATTTTTGGATGTTGATATTGATATTACTGTGCTTTGGGGTCTCTTTCTTCCCTGAACGTGAAGTATATTATATTGTTTCTAGAATTATAAAATAAAAAATATTATAATAAAACTAAAACAATTCTCATTGAAAAATCTGTAATAATTGAAGTATTTTGACAAAAGTGATAGTTGAATTTTCAGAAAATTAAAAAATTCTTCTGCTTTTCTGGACCATTAATTTTTGTTTTGTCCTACTCCTAATAACCTTGTTTGATTCTCATCACTCTTCCATTGTTTGACCTCTCAAGTTGCATCTCTCTCAAGTTCAGCACTACTTGATTATCCCCTTTTTTTCACTTTTTTTTTTCTTTTTAATTGATAGTATTCTAAAATCCCAACACTAAGTAATCATATTTTTTCCTTTTAGTTTTATTAACTGTGAAATTTTTATAAAATTATTATATATCCCTTTCATTTTAACATAATATTTTTTAAAAAATTAAACTATTTTAAATAATTTAAATAATTTTTTATTTTTTAATTACATTCAATTAAATTTCGATATAAAAAAATATTTGATGCACTCACAGTGTATAACTTTATACACAATCAAGACACCAAATCCTTACGCTGAGGTATTATTTTGAATGATAAAAAAAGTTGAAAAGATCCCCAAAGAGCATTAGGTTTTAATATCAACTTTCTATATTCTTCAAAATAATACCTCATTAATAAGGTATTAGGATTTGATCCTCTAATCGTGTATAAAAGCTATACACTATCAATGTATCAAATATTAATCATTCTTGTATTTTTTTTATTTATATTAATATTTAATGCATTAACAGTATATAACTTTTATACACAATCAAGCTCTTAAATCCTAGCAAATTGATAAATTCCCAAAAGGCATCAGGTTTTAATATCAACCTTTTATTTTTTCAAATTTATACCTTATTAATGAAATGTCAGGATTTAGTGACCTGATAGTTTATAAAAACTATACACTATCAATGTGTTAAATATTTTCTCTTTATATCTAGAGTTAAACAAGCTTTTAAAACAAAGTTTGACTAATTATCATTAATTAATATGTCATTTGTCATTTTTATATCCACGTGATGTTAATGTGAAAAGTGACTAATGTCATGCTACTACATTATTATGCCACATTAATATATATATTACATTAATGTAATATAACATAAAATTATTAATAATATTTTAAATAATAACAATTAATCAACTATTAGTAACAAAAATTTAATTGATCAAAAATAAAAATAAAAATTGAATTGAACGTAATAAAAAAATAAAAATTTACTTAAATAATTCAAAAACTTTTGTAAGTAGTATAAGTTTCATTTTTAATTTCCAACTAATACACCTAACCACTTAATAGCATACATTTGGAACACTTGAAAAGGTTTAACACTAAAAAGTCAACACCACGCTTTCAATATTAGAAATTATTAATTTAGAGAAAAGCTAAAGCTTCAACTTTCCGTACATAAAACGACCATGAGGCACGAGTTTAACGCATTAAGCTTTGCCTTTTATTTTGCTTTTGGAAGCAAAGGAGTGACACCCAGTGGGTGGACAGAGTGAAATAGAATGCATGAAAAGAGACCTTTTATCACGGGGATGATGACAAGGCCAAACAAAAGGCAAAATTTACGTTTGTATGCAGGGAAAATTATTTCTTTTATCTTTTGTTCGTGGGGGGCAGAAAAGGAAAAAACATTTCTTCATGTTTGATAACGGGGGAGGAACATAAAAGTGACAGAAATTATTTCTACATAGAATTCGAGTTTCGTGCATAAAATAAATACTTTTGGAGTGAATGTGTATGGTACAGTTGATAGCAAAGAAGATTCCGATGTTGTCTAACAAAATATTGTTAAATAAGAAGTACAAATCTAGACACCATACAAGCATTTGACCAATAATTTTAAAGCGAAGGAGAAGTGATCTCGTTTCATTTTTGCTCACTCATACTCTAATGGTTTTAACTTTGCTCGCAATACAAGTCTTTGTCACACCTCAAATCTACAGCTGATTTTGTAGTTCAAGGCGTGAACATCCTGACAAATACCACGTAATTACATCAACCCATTATAAATTATCATCTTACTGCTAAAAGGATCTGTTCATACATTCACAAGGTGTGAACATCTTAACAAATACCCAGCCCCAGGTTACAACTTAACCTTATGAAAATGTCTAAAACAGAGTGGAAATTTAAGAGCCATGTTCTCCTTGCCAATCCCGATAAGTTATAGGCTGACCCTTTTATCCTAATCTATCACTGTCAATTCTCAATAATACTACAATGCATAGATGATATATTAGATATTGTCGTTCCAGCATCCTATGACATGGTAGCATGTGATGCCTGGATCATCACATGGCTTCCACCCCACCCCACATTCATTCTCTCCCATTTCAATCTTCTGACTCTCAGCTCAGATCACAATCTTGACCACAATCAGTAATTTCATGACATCAACAAAACATATAATAAATAAATAAATAAATAAATTTTTGTTTCTTGAGTGAATAAAAAATTGTTCTACAGACTGTACTAAGATGGTAAGGGTGAAATAAACGTTTGCTGGTTGAATATCAGCATCTCAATTCACAGTTACACTTTTGAAACCATAATGCACTTGCTTCACCCAATTCATTTATTAAACAACTGTAAGTTATACCTCTCTTTCTTCTAATTGTTGACAATAATGCCTCCAGCAAGAGCAGTAAACCAAGAACAAGATTCACTTTGGATAGTCTTCTTTGTATAATAAGAAAGGTTTTAGTAATTTGCAATATGCTATTCTTCCATAACCAACAACTAACTTTTAAGAATTGCACCTATTAGCTCCAATGTTACCTAGCAGGACCAAGTAATGGAAAATGACTAGCATGCTTACCTGAGATACAATAATATTAAGGGAAAAGAGTGTTAGCATAACCTATAACCCCATCAGAGATGAAAAGAATGTTGGCCTTTTGGAGTGTCCATTTCAAAGCGGGACAGCAAAGGAAAAATATACATCTACCATGCAAAAGGAACAGTGTCCTTGACTTGACAGAAGGAGGGCATTGAAGGGGCAAAATCCAACTTACCAAATAAAATTAAAGACGGTCCATTGGCCTAGTTCAAAGCCATCTGATAAGGATCAGCCAAGCCTACGAGCCAGTCAAGGCAAATGCCAAATTTTACATAGAGGAAATCAAGACAAATTAGATTCAATTTTTACACTTGTTTATAGCAGGTTTGCCCAATTCAAACATTCCAAACTTGACTGCTTATACAATTGGTACATCCGACTTCTTGTTCAACATATCACTGTCAAGTTATTCAAGGCCAAGAAATGACTGCTTATAAGATTGGCATACATCCAGACAGTATTTCATATGACAATCTACATGCTTTTACATAAAGGGGAAATTGACAATTAAGGATGAAGAAGAGACAAATTATACACTTAATACACTCAGAAAATCTCACCAAGCTCCAAGCTACAGAACCTTGTACTGAAGTATACCGTGTATGCAGTGACTCTCTGATTCTGGATACTAACAAATCCAAAATCTAATAACTTAGATACTAAAACAGCTACTTTGAAAGCCTCTCACTGCTTCATTGCATGTGTAGAAAATAAACATAAGGCATCACCCGCCATTCGGTAGATACCCAAAGTTCACTAACTTTGCTAAGTTTTGACAACCCTACTCCAAAGCCAAAGAAAATAAAAGGAAAAATATAAAATCAAAATTTTATCTTAGAGAAGAGCATGCCAGTTCAAAAATCCTTGGGAGAAATAAACTCCCATGACTATCACTACACAAAGTCACAAACCCCAGTTCAAACTCTCTGATAATGAAAACAGATTCCATCGAGGTTTAGACCTGAGCATAACAATGTAAGTATAAGTCCCTTAAAGAAAACGAAAAAAAAAGGCAATCAAATAACAAAGTCCTTAGTATGCCCACCCATATTCTCCCTCTGTTTCACTCATCCCCAAAAAAATAGAGATTATAGAACTCATAGTACAAATGTCTGATAAGGAACAGGGGAAAACTAAAAATTTTAAAAAAAAAATCAGCAAGACTAAGGAAACACAATAATCAAGTATAACAAGGCCTCTAAAAAATGTTAGCCAAGCAATAAAATTAGAAACAAAGCAGAGAAAGTTTTATTATTGAACTTTATATCATCATTGATTCATGAACGTGTTCTTGTCTCAGCAACCTAAAGTTTTATACTACAACAAAAAGAGACTTAATTTAACAACCATGCTTATATTCATCATACAATGAAAATTTCAACATATGAATAAAATTCCAAAGATTTAATCACCTGAAATCGCCGACCAAATGCTCCCATCTCCTTTTATCTTCCATAGGGTAAACCAACCATGATTATCATCGAAAATATAGCTTCCCAACCTTCCATTTCCGCGTCACTGGCCATCCTCACATAGACAGGAGCCGCTGGACTAGGCATGTGGACGACTCTGCACTATATAGAATAAGAAAAAACGCAAGCGAAGCACACAGGATGGAAGCGTAACGACCTCCTAGAGCAGACTCTCCGACGAAAATTTACAGCGTGGGGACCTGACCCCAAAAAAACCTTTGAGAGCTAAACTGATTGAGCTATTGCACTTCTTTTCTCCACCTTTCTAAATCTCATTCCTCCCAAAACTTTCCTGAACGAACTCATATCGTAGCTTCGCAGGTAGACTCTACAAATTATATTATAAAACGTTAAATTCTGGTATTCAATTAACTTATATTTTACAAAGCATTAATCAATTAAGTGTAAAGGAAGTGAACAAAATTGAACCTTGGCGATTGCTTCAGCTACAAACTTGCGATCTCGAATTGAATTACCCGGTTCAAAATCCAAAACCGCCATACAATCCCTTGGCGTTTCGAACAACGACAAAGAAAATTGCTTAAAAACGACACCGACGTCAAAATAAATAAGACCCGAGCTCGGAATATCGACCCGGATCCCTTTAACCGGGAACCAAAGAAACAATTCTTGCGCCGTAATCCCTGACAACGCCCCGATCTGCCCGTAACTCAAAGTCCCTGACACATTCCGATCGTAATGCAACTCGCTTTCAAACTTGGCATTACAGGCCTGATCCAAATGAACCTCGAACCGGCCCGTATCGTCGAAGTCAAATTGGGTTATCCCCTTCGGAAGTAGCCCCATGGGCAGGCCATGAGCCTTTAGGATCTCGTAAATAGAATCCTGCTCGCCGTTCACAATCGTGAAGATGAAAATGAAGTAAAGAAATACGGAAGGAATTAAATGAATCATTTTTTCCGTCTCCTTTTTTGGGGTGCGAGGGGATTTTTTTTCTTTTGTTAGAGCATGGAGATTGGGAAAATCTTTTAGGGCATTTACCAGAAAGAAAGGGGATGAAGAGATTAGGGCTAGGGTTTAAGGAACTTTTGGGACAAAGGGAAAATTGGGACAATAAGGAGAGAAGAAGAGAAGTGGAACGGGACAGTGTTGCCAGCTTGAATACAGAGAGGATTAGGAGAATGATCAATTATTGGCATTAAGAGTGGGGTCCCCATCCAACCCTTTTCGACACTCGCCGTTATCTTCTACGGTTTGGGTTTTCCCTATCGTACGGTTAAACCAGTATTCTACTGCCACGTTGATTCTGTGAAGTGCAATTGCACGTTCGTGTGATTTCCGGGGTTTCATGTTTGGAGTTGGTCGTTCAGTAAATTCCAGACTCTGTTCACACGCGAGGAACGTTAGTGGCATAGACGCGCTTCTAAGGAGCGTGGTTCAGATTAAAATTGACGGTGATAAATATTTCCAAAAAAAATCGTAGTGTTAAAAGTTTAACTTTCAAAAATGAATAATAAATTCGGTTTATCACTATAAGTAAAGTAATAAATTTAAATTTTATCTCAAAAATGATTTTCTTTTAACACGTGATCATTGGTAAGTGAGTTAATTTCGTAGTTTGAATAATTTATAAGTACATATTATAATGTGATATAAACATTTAAAACATGAATTCTTTTATCATCTTAGTAGTTAAGAATATCGTATCTATCCAAAAAAAAAAATCATTTTCAAATAATTTAAGGGGTTAATTGATAAATTGAAAAAAATTAAGTATTAAATTGTTATTGTTAAAATCATTTGGAAATTCAATACTTAATAGATGTTCTGTTGCCTAAATTAAAAAGGAAAAATAATTAGTTGAACAGTAAATAATAGGAGGGGGGACATAGCATGTGAAAGATGGGGGAGGGTTGAAGCGTGATTATGATGATGATGATTTTGTCTTGACATAAATAATAGTAACAAATAATTCCAGGGCATTAAATCGGAACATAAAAAATCTCTAAGCATGTCTTTTGTGAATAATGCTTGTATTTTTGCGAAGGCATCTGTATCATTTCCATCACCTACTTTACTTCGTACATTATGATTAACTCCCCTACATTATCCACTTCATTACCCATCATGTGCTTAGCCCACCAATTCTTAATCAATGTCTATATACAAAGTTACTAACAAAATATGTTTAAGGATATAAAGATCACAATTTATCTCAATTTCAATTACTATAAAGTTTCTTTTATTAATATAAATGGTCTTCAATGTGATAAAAAGAATAAGAGAGAAATGGATAAATCTGTAACTAGTGTTTGTGTAGTAAAGATAACATAGTTAATCAGAAGTATATTACTACATTCTTCTTCAAATGCAATTTTTTTTTAACATAATATTGAAAAAAATTATTAAATTATTTGAGAATATTTAAATAAAATTTTATTATTTTATTACATTCAATCAAATTTTTATAATTTTATTTTAAATCAATAATTGATTAATTATCATTAATCAAAATCTTATTTATCATTTTATCTTTATGTGGCATTGACAAGAAGTGAGTATATTACGTGACATGCAACGGCGGAGGGTCATGTTTTTTAAATTTTTTATATATTATATATTTTTTAATAATTTTTAAAAATAATTTTTATTAACTATTTAATATATTTAAAATAATAAATAATTTATAAATATCATTAATTTATTCAATTTTAATTTTTTTAATTTTTAATTTCTCCATCCATATTTCTCTCTTTTCTTTTCTCTCTTATATTAAATTATAAAGATGTAAAGTTTTTTATTAATTAATATTTTTTTATATATTATTATTATTTATTTTTTTAAACTCTATTTATTTGTTATATATTTTAAGTTTCTATAAATTTCTCTTTAAATTTCATGAATCATCAACCATATTTTTTTTTGTTATATAAGTTATATTTCCCTTGTCATGATTTTTTATTTTTATTATGTAGATTTTATTTTTAATGATTTTTAATTTTTAAAAATTAAAAATTATTATATATTAATTCTCAATTAGGTTCTAGTTTTGCATTATTAGTTATTGTTTAAAATTTAGTAATATTTATTTTTATTAATCTAATTATATAAGAAAAAATTATTTTGAGTATATGGTTTTAATGTGCTTTACTTTTATATTTAGTTGAAAGAAATTATCTTGAGTATAAGAAGAAATTATTAATTATTATATCTATTTAACTATTTATATTTTATGCATAAGTTTAATATTTATATTATGAACTTAAATATAATAAAATAAAAATATTAAATTTATTACATTATTTTTTTAGTGTTTATATTGATAAAGGTAAAACTTTAAAATAAATGGATAATCAGTTTTTACAAAAATTTAGTTGTTTATATTAAAAAAGATATTGTCATTGTCAAAAATTTCCTCAGCTATTATAAGTTTTTTTTCTTTTTTTTTTTATTTACATGTTATAAATTATTGTCTATTATAAATCTTTTGATTATTAATGTTAAGTTCAATATATAGTTTTAAAATTTTTTAACTTTATTTTTTTACCTTTGCCCCCGTCAATAAAAATTAGCTAACTCCATCCTTGGTGATATGTTAACTTGTCACGTCAATATGACACATTATCATCTATTATCACGTGTTAGTATGCCATTTAATATAAAATGACAATTAATATTTTGATTAATAATAATTAATTAATCATTAATTATAAATATCTGTTTGATTAAAATTAAAATATATAAGAATTTAATTAAATGTAATACAAGAAAAGATTTATTTGAATATTTTCTAATAGTTTGAAAGTTTTTTTTAAGTATTGTGTATTTTTTTTTCAAATTAAGATGTTGATGGGCTTGAGCTGTTTGGGCCACAGCTTATTTTATTTGGGCCGTAACCTTCATGCTGGAGATGGGCTGCAAGTAGTCCATTGGGCACGGATGTGACAATTTTATTCTTAAAATTTGTTATTTAGAAAATAAAATTACTCAAAAACACTAATAAACTTTATATTCATGAGTTCTAAGATTTAAAAATATATTAGGCACAATACCTAAAAAAACTTATTAACTATTTAAAAAAAATTTTAAAAAATTATTTTTAGCATAATATTTTAAAAAAATCCTTAAAATGGTTGTACTTTTATTTCATTTAATTAAGTATTTGTATTTTTTTATTTTGAATTAAATAAGCTTTCATGACAATAGTTAATTGAATCAATATACTACTTATCATTTTATACTACGTAATATATTGACATGTTATAATAGATAATATTGTGACATGTTGATAAGTGATAATAGATGATGATATGACATGTTAATGTGATATGATAATATGATTATATGACATTTTTCACTTTCTATATCAATGTCATGTTAGCACCATATGAGTATAAAATGATGATTAATAATTTAACTAGTTATAATTAATTAATAATTATTCATAAGAGCTTATTTGGCTTAAAATACTAGAACAAGAGTTTGATTAAACATAATAAAAGAATAAAAGTTTATTTGAATTTTTTTAAACAATTTAGGGGCTTCTTGGAACATGTTGCCTTTATTCTTTTATTATGTTTAATTGAATTTTTATAGTTTTATTTTGAACCAATTAAGTCATTCTCACTAATTACTAACTAACTCTTATTAGTGAAAATATCATGTTATTTTTATGTCATGTGACATACTGACATTTTCATAATGGATGATAATATGACTTGATGATATAATTATATGATATTTTTCATTCTAACCATTAACAGCACATGAGTATAAAATAATAAATAACATTTTAATTAATACAATTAGACATTAGTTAACCGTTATTTATAAAATATTCTTTTAAAAAAAGTCATAAAAGCCTATTTGACTCTAAATAAAATTATAAGAGCTTGATTGAACGTAATAAAAAAATAAAATTTATTTAAAATTTTAAAATAGTTTAAATTTTTTTTAAGTGTTATATTGACATATTCAACACTCTTAAATATAAATATATGCATATTGTTAATCAAAAGTTAACATTTGAATGTTTGTCAACACGCAATATTAAGTTATTTGCATTATTTTTTTAGAGCAAAATAAAAATAAGAACAAGTCATGCTATCTCTAATAATATGAAATAGTCAATTTCTGTAAAAGAAAAAACTTTATCTTTCAAAGTACAAGGTATTACAAACAAAACAAAAGGTTGAGGATTACTATAAAAACCAAAATTCAGACACCTGTTCCTTTGTCGTGTTAGAATGGACGCCCCTTTGTGATAGTGATGATATCTAGTTCAACCTCTTAAGGGAGAAGCCTGAGTTAATTTACAAGCAATTATTTGCTTGGATAGAAGAAAAGCTTCTACCATCAAAATCTGTAACAAAGAATTGAAGAATGGCTTTGGGATCAACCAAGGTGTCAAAGAGGGCACATGTCTGAAAAAATCAATGCTCAGCTTACAGTACTTGAATTGTGAAGAAGATTTAAAAGGAAAAATTATTATACAGTGAATCCAGATTGAACTGAGCTCAGCTATGTGAATGCAAAGAGCAAATTGCATTTGAGATGGCCCTAATCTGTCGGTAAAAAGAGTTTGGCATTTCAGCTTTTCTCATTTATTTACTTTTAACAAGTGTCTAGGATATTGATGAACTTCCATTCTAAACAGGAACTAACGTATTTTGTTTTTTGATTGGACCTACTCTTCTTAAAATTGAAAGTCATGGTGGGTCAGTTGTCTTTTGAAATTAGACAGCGGGACATGAAAAAGAATGGGACCCAAAACCAGAAAAGAAGAAACTGGCGCCTCAAAGGCCACCCTAGCTGTGTCCAAACATGGCCTTCTGCCACTTTACCATGTGACTCTACTTCGGCACTCTCAAACTCACTAACCCAGTTAGCCAACACTGCAATACTCCAAATTTTCTTTCTTTTATCTTTACATCGAAGAAGATAAGATACCCCAAAGCTCAACCTGTGTTCCAGAGAGAGATCCAATGGTGTCTGGGTCACCCTATTTCCGGCTTTCTTCCTTCTTCTTTGTGCTGGCATGTTTGGTGACTGCTTCTTTGGCAGGTGACCCTTTTGTCTTCTATGATTGGACTGTTTCTTACCTCACGACTTCTCCACTTGGTGCTAAGCAACAGGTTCATTATCTTCTGGTCCAGTTTTCTTCTGCTTGTGGAATTGATGTACTTGTTTCAAGATTTGATCTTTCTTTTCTACTGCTTAATGGTTGTTAGGATTTCGGATAAAAATGGTATGTTGTGAATTATATGTAGAATTCTCTGTGGATTTCGATTTTTTTCTGCTAAGTAAACAAGTTACGGTGTAATTTGTGAATTTACTGTAACTATAAGGAGTTAAATTACTGCTGGTTCTTTTGAAGTAGTAAATGATAATGAGTATCCTATTCTGAGAAGTTGGGTTTTAGAGTTGCCTAATCATGTTATCAAGATAACTAGGAACTTTCGACATGCACTTGTTATTTAATTATGGCAAGAAAACGGTCCCTAGAATCAAATATAGACTATGCTTGCCTAGTATGCCTGCCTAATAATTGTTCTGAACGTCCTTAAGGAGGCAATTTAATTCCAAAAATGGTAGCTTTTGTCTATACCATGCCAAATTTTGACATTAAATAACATACTGGCCTGAGCGAATTACTTGCCGTCGAATTATTTATGTTGGTAATGCAGAATCTATACTTTGAATTACTTGCTGGCCCTAATATGCATTTTTTTTAAAAAAAATTCATGTTTCAAAGGCTGTTATAGTATGTTAATTCCAGGTGAATCTCAAATTGTTTATCTCCTGAATTGATAGCAGTAAATGTTGAACTTCCATGAAATATATTGATAAATTATACTAGTTAATATAATGAGCAATTCAAACTACTGATACTGAAGCAAAAAACTTCCGAACATGTTCACCATACATGGAGGCTAATATGTGTATCTCTTTCCCCTTTATTTCTAAAACTTTGGTTTTTTTTAATAGTGGCATTTTGCCACATTTTGAATTTAACTTGTTAATAGTTTGTGCTTATGGTCTTGAATGTGATAAATTACAATGGTGAAATATGACCCAAATGATGAACGCTACATAGTGAAAAGGCTTAGTTTGTTATAGTTTTTGTCTCAATGATGTTGGAATCCATATGTTAGTCTATGTCTTGCCTGTTCAGCACCTCAACTCATGTCACCTTTTAATCAGAAGTGTGGCCCAAACCTATGTTATATGTTGATCATTGGAAGGTTGTTTACATAGAGCTGATACACGCTGGCTGCTGACCTTTTTTTTTTTTTAATACCATTACTCCAGGTGATTGGTATTAATGGGCAGTTTCCAGGACCAATCCTCAACATCACTACAAATTGGAATATTGTTGTCAATGTTAAGAATGATCTTGATGAGCCACTTCTGCTTACATGGTAAAAAATACATGTGCCATGAATGATTAAAAAAGATCAAATGAAGGAGATAAATCAATTATTTGGTTCCATCAAAAAGGAAAAATAATGATATCTGTCTTAATATTGATTTTTAATGCAGGAACGGTATACAACATAGGAAAAACTCTTGGCAAGATGGTGTTTTGGGTACTAATTGTCCGATTCCTGCTGGTTGGAACTGGACATATGAGTTTCAGGTCAAAGATCAAATAGGGAGTTTCTTTTACTTCCCTTCCCTAAACTTCCAAAGAGCTGCAGGTGGCTATGGAGGAATTATCATAAACAACAGAGATGTCATTCCACTACCCTTTGGGATACCTGATGGTGATATTACTATCTTTATTAGTGACTGGTATACTAAGAGTCATAAGGTCTGCATAAATTTTGATTTAGCTCAATGCTTTTGTGTCTGTCAGCTAATTTAGTGAAATTTTGGGTACTAAACAATTGCTCTTGTGCAAAAACAGGGATTAAGGAAAGATGTTGAAAATGGAGTTGACCTTGGAGTTCCCAATGGTATCCTTATCAATGGACTGGGTCCATATCGTTATGATCAAACGCTTGTTGAAGATGGGATTTTTTACCAGATCATAAATGTTGAACCAGGTACACAACTGAAGGTGTGCGTGCAACACTTGGTTTGCTGTTGTTTCCATTCACTGAACATTATCTTGCTTGTAGTAATAAACTTATATATACATAAATCATACCATCTTCCATATTTTTGAGAAGTATATTTATTCTAGGCTTCTAGCTAGTCCTAGATGATGGGTTTCATTTGTACATTCTCCATGAAGGATAATAGCAGATATTCAATATGCTAGACATCTGAAAATACCTATCAATTCATTGTTAGTTTTTGGAGGGCAGGCTTGGATGTTCCATGAAATTTGAAGCATGGCTTTACATTTTCATACCATTAGACAAGTGTATCTTGCTTTTCATGGCTTTGCAAATTAATTACTAATAATATTTTTGCACTTGATTTTTTTGGGGGATGCTTTTCTGGTTTTGTACTTGCATTTATGACAGAATCCCAGTTTCTTCTGTTCTGGTTCTTTGCATGCTGTAGTTCTTTGTGTTTATTGAAAATTTGGAAACAAGAAATTAGATATGGTTCAGTTTACCTGAATTTTTGTGAAAAATGGCCATGTGATGTCAGACTTTTTAGTCGTGATACTTGTCTATGCTTATTTGATGCATGTATAGACATGAATGGGATTAAGCTTAATATAATTAGATAACTAGCAAAATGAGAGGGCTCTTTGTATTTTGGTGAAGGAACTTTTCTTTCCATAACTTGCTGTCTGAGATTTATTTCAAAGCAGATGAATGCTAAATTGTTATTTTTAAATATTTATGTTAATATTATGGAATTCTAAATCCATATGTATTTGATGCTTGGATAGACATGAATCAGATTAAACTTAATATAATTAGATACCTTGTAAAATGAGAAGGCTCTTTGTATTTTGGTGAAGAAACCTTTCTTTTCATAACTTGCTGTCTGAGATTTATTTCGAAGCAGATGACTGTTACATTGTTATATTAAATATTTATGTTAATATTATGAAATTCTAAATCCATGTGTATTGCTGTGTCCTTGTGCTTGATTATATTGTCATACCCACCTGTGGCCCTGTATTGTTTTACAAATTACAACATAATATCTTTGCTATGTTTGGATCATTGATGTGATATGTTTGGAATTTGCTGCAATACTCTGTTGACACTATACCATCGACTTCCCTTTTCTGGTGCCTCTGGTAATAGCCTGATGTTTAATATTCTATCTGAAACAGGAAAAACATATCGCTTCAGGGTCCACAACGTTGGAATTTCAACTAGCTTGAATTTCAGAATCCAAGGCCACAACCTACTTCTTGTTGAGACTGAAGGATCATACACAGTTCAGCAAAACTACACAAACATGGATATTCATGTGGGTCAGTCGTACTCATTCTTGGTTACCATGGACCAGAATGCTAGCAATGATTATTACATTGTAGCCAGTCCTCGGTTTGTCAATTCATCTGACTGGGCTAAAGTTACTGGAGTCGCCATCTTGCACTACTCCAATTCTCAAGGACCCGCCTCAGGTCCTCTTCCCGATCCTCCTAATGATTATGACACATATTTCTCAATGAATCAAGCAAGATCAATAAGGTTGTAGTTCATTTTATATTTGTTTTAATCAAAGTTCAAAATATACTAGAAAATTTTTCTTTGAGCTGCTATAAGAATTGTATGCTTAAAAAACCCTCATATTTAAAACGTCGAGCAGTTGTAAAGATTGCTTTTTCCTTTATCTAAATGCTGACAGATATTTTGGTCAAGATGAAATTGACTTTTCAACTGCTGAATGTGCTGCTAAACTGAAACCATGAAGTTCTCATCAATGGTACGCTAACTATATCTTTGTCATTCTGGTGCATTTATAGGTGGAATGTCTCTGCTGGTGCTGCACGTCCAAACCCTCAAGGATCTTTCAAGTATGGCCAGATTACCGTGACAGACGTGTATGTGATCCTTAATAGGCCTGCAGAGCTTATAGATGGAAAACGGCGTACAACCCTTAATGGTATTTCATACTTAGCACCTTCAACACCCATAAAACTTGCTCAGCAGTTCAACATTCCCGGGGTCTACAAGCTTGATTTTCCAAATAGACTGATGAACAGACCTCCCAAAACTGATACATCTCTAATTAATGGTACTTTCAAAGGTTTTATGGAAATAATCTTTCAGAACAATGACACCACGGTACAGAGCTACCATCTGGATGGCTATGCTTTCTTTGTTGTAGGGTGAGCTTTTAGCTTCTGATATCTTATTTCGCTTCCTCGGATGTGGGGATGCATGAATTTGACAAATTTCCATCACTATCGCAGTATGGATTTTGGGGTGTGGACTGAGAATAGCAGAGGCACATACAACAAATGGGATGGTGTTGCACGCTCTACAACACAGGTACCCCTGCCTTGTAATCTTGATCACAAATGCTTTCTGATGAAACTGCTCAGTAAAAATGTGGTGAAAAAGGTAAGAGAAAAGAAAACAGGAAAGAGATCTTTATCAAATCATTGAAAGGAATCTTGATCTTGATTTGAGAAACAAAACAAGGGGAAACCTATTCTTGAGAAATTGCCAGTCCAACTTCATTGTAGGGCTTATAAAAGTTAGCCTAAAGTGCTCAGATTAAGGAAGCTTGACTATCTTTATCATAGAAAAAGAGCAAGATTTTTCTAGTTTGTGGCTTCTTTTGTTAAACTGAGTTCATCCTTCAATCTAAGTTTCTGAAGTTTACACTCAGTAGCTACATTCTGCTTTTAGCCTTTTTAATGTACTTTCCTATTAAATATTTTCAAGTAGTTGAGTACTAATGTTACTGAAAATTTTTTATATGTTTAAGTTCTCATCTATGAACAACCACTCCTAACATTTAAACCTGGTTGCAGGTCTTTTCTGGCGCCTGGACAGCAATATTGGTTTCTCTTGACAATGCGGGCATTTGGAATTTACGTGCGCAGAATCTTGATTCATGGTATCTAGGCCAAGAAGTTTATGTGAGTGTTGTGAATCCAGAGGTTGACCAATCTGAGGTTCTGTTGCCTGAAAATTCCATATATTGTGGTATCCTTTCGTCATTACAGAAGTAAGATCTCAAAACAATGTGGTTCGGTCTCTTCTATAGTTTGTTACATTTTTCCTATGGGGGAATTATTCATGGAGATTTCTAGATTGAACCTTCACTTTTTCAATTGATCAAGTCTAGATTGTTTCCCTCCATTAGTGATACTGTTAGGGTTAATGGTCGTCTTTATATCTCCTGGGCATCTTGTTAAAGTTACCCCAGTTTTAAAAGTGATAGAGGTGGAAACTCTTGGAGTCACTGCACGTCCAAATTGTTGAGAGACTATAGAAAAAGAAAATTTCATGCTCAAATTCTCCATTGAACAACCTTGTTTTTGGAAAAGGATGTACTACATTCCTGTAGAAAAAAAAAAATTCTGGTACAACAATATTGTTATTCTACTGAAGGAAAATTTGAGTATGGGATCTGTCAAGATCCCACAAGAAATGCCATCACGAGGCCGATGGGATATGTACAAGTACAGCTGTTGTGTTGGAGATTTTCTACAAATTTGTTTGCTACTATTTTCCTTTTATTGGTTGCTAATTTCTTTATTTTTCTCTGTAATTACAGGGATCAGGCTCAAAGGGTTAATTTTTCTGGTGCACCATCAATTTCTGATTCAAGTAAAACAGTTTTCATTCTGTTAATCATAGCCTTAATTGGGCATTCTCTCAGGTAACAATGGTGAGAAAGAAAATCAAGTAAGCACCATAATTTTACTGCTGAACCAGCAATACAAAGCCTCTGTCAGTGGGAAATAGTAATATTATAGATCAGATGGCCTTAGTTTGGTTGGGAAACAAAATTATGGACAGCGACTAGCTTACAATCTTGTTACCTGAAAATCCTGTACTATTCTTGTTGAACTTGTATCATTCAACCTGCCGGAAAAACTGCATGTTATGCCATTGAAATAGGTGCACATAAAGGCTTTAAGAACAGCAACTGACTGTAAAGGAAATTGTACTGGTAGTCTGTAATTTAAGATTTTTTTTTGGTAGTGTATCATGCAAAATTTTAGCCCATGATATTGTTGAATCTCTTCATATTTAGTTAAATATATTTTGTAATCCTACCTTGCTTGATGAGTTATAGACACAATGTTTTTGTGGACCCGAGGGGCATAATTATTCTCTATAACCTTGTCGAGCATTTCACTTTTGTTTGCAGAGTCATAAACCATTTGCTCCAATTTCTGCTTTGAATCATCAAACTTGAAAGTAATCAAGCATTGCATGCATCAAGAGCATTTCACATGCACTTTGCTTGCGATTTCTTTTCACATGGAGTATCAAACAGGGGATGCATAAGTGGCATTATTGGGAGTAATGGGTAGTGGCTAAGGCATTGACCAGCAACAGATAAAAGGCAAAAATAAAAAATAAAAAATTGAGAACTTCAATCCTCCATGAGCAATGATTGAAGTCTACCAGTACTCTTTCATTTTATTATAAAAATGCCATCAAGATGAGTTGAGGATATCAAGAAATGCATAGTAAATATGGTTGGTGGAGTTAAGGTGGTCCATTCTTTGCAGGTAATGTATCCAACCACAAACATTGGTAATAGAATGGTGGTGATCCCCTAACCAAAGGGTGTTTTAACATTTTGTGCGAGAACTTGTATAAACTAGAAATAGATTGAAAACCAATAAGGCAAATAACAAAGCCTTAAAGATAAAGCATGTGAAGGCTAACATCAGATTGATGTAAACTCACTGAACCCAATGTGTGTTTTTTGACAAATTTCTTCCTAAGTTACTATGCTAACTTGGATTGCACAAAGAAAACGCAGACGTTAAGTGAAGGCAAGCAATCGTGCTTCCAAATCAGCTTGTAAAAACAGTTAAATGAATCCTCAACCAACAACTTGGGATTTTATTCTGCCCGTTTGTCAAAAACCCATCAATCGACCTCAAAGCCTCAAACTCGTGAGTTTCTGTCTCAATGGATCACAAACTTTACTCAGACCAATTTTTTGTCTTTTGCTTGTCTTGCCTTGAAAGCATAAAAAGCTAGACCAAGTTGCATACTGACAAAACCCATCAATTTGTGCTAGAATCATTATCCTCACCATATCAAACAGTGTGTTGGCACACGTCAGAGAAACAGCCTCTTTAAATTCCACAAAAAATTGTCAATCAATCCATAGTGGAAGTTCTGTACCCGAGATTTGACTAATTGATTAATACCTTACTTAAAGAGCAGGCTCGAATTCCCTACCCAATTATAAATACCCATAGCGGAAGTTCTACTAACAAGTATAGCTATGGCTAATGCTACTACTCTTGGCTTTTACGAAGTCATAACTTTTTGCCTCTTCTTTAGCTTTGTGGTAGTAGTTACTCAGTCAGCTCCTGAGAACGCTCTGGTCACTCAGCTTCCTGGTTTTGCTGGCACTTTCCTTTCGAAGCACTATTCCGGGTATTCCCTGATTCGATATTTTCATCTTTTCTTAGTTCATTGCTTTTCTTCTAGTTTCCCATAACCTGGGAATTATTACTATTGCTGGTCAAACTCATGGGGAATTTTTTTTTTGAAGGATTATCCATGAATTTGGTAAATTATTGCTAAATACTAAGTTTGGTTGGTTTATTTTGTTATGTGGATTTTTCTTTATTGCTTGAAGGTATGTGAATATTGATCAAAGTCATGGAAAGAATCTGTTTTACTATTTTGTGGAATCTGAAAGGAAGCCATCGGAGGATCCAGTGGTTCTTTGGCTCAATGGTGGACCTGGATGCTCTAGCTTTGACGGTTTTGTTTATGAGCATGGTATACACTATATACCATCAATCGATAAAAGATGTTTCATATTTTTAATCTGATATTGAGATATTTCTGTTTCACCTTAGTTGTTCCCAAGTAATCAGTTCATTTGGGTTTTTAGACTTTGGAAATATTTAATTGAACTCTAAGATTAATGCGCAATGGAAGGTGAAATGAAGTTCTGCAATTTATGGACTGGTATTCACTTAGATGGATCAGGAATGCCCTATTTTAAATCAGTTGTTCTGTTTTGCCCTTGGTGAAAATTAATGTGGGTCTATTTTGTGGCCAGTTGCATAATTTACTGAGGTTTCATGGATCCTCTTTTTCACTGTAGTGAATTAGAATAAGATAAATTCATGTTTCAGATAAAAAACAAAAAAGAAAAATTTGAATTTCAACAGATTGCATTTAATTTCCTTCAGAGTACTCCATTTTAGACGGCCAAGATGAATGCTGAAATGATTGCCTGTGGTGCCCTTTTCACCTCTAGTACAGCACCTTATTCTTTGTAGACGGAGAGTTCTGAGAAATTTTATCAATATATAGCACTTGCTTTTTATTGTTCATTCCAGGTCCTTTCAATTTTGAAGCAGCGAAGACAAGTGGAAGTTTGCCCCAACTGCATCTCAATCTTTATAGTTGGTCCAAGGTTGTAATTTTCTAGTTGTTTTTGATAGGGGAAAAAAGGAGATGTTTGATTTGTTTATACTCCTTGCCCCCATTGCGGTACAATTTCTTAGTTCACAATTTTTATTTCAGGTCTCCAACATTATATATTTAGATTCTCCTGTTGGGGTTGGGCTTTCTTATTCAAAGAATCAAAGTGATTATGTAACTGGTGACCTACAGACTGCCACTGACACGCATGCATTTCTTCTCAAGGTGAGAAGGGATAGAAATGTTATAACAAATTTAGCTCATTATTGCTTGAGTGCTTTATTTGCTGAGATACTTAAGTCTAAAGTAACTGCTGTGCAACAGTGGTTTCAGCTATATCCCGAGTTCCTCTCAAACCCCTTTTTTATTGCTGGAGAGTCATATGCTGGAGTATATGTGCCTACTCTTTCTTATGAAGTGGTGAAAGGTATATCCTCTTAGTTTAGATTTTATTCATTTTAAGGATAAATCTAAAGTGCAGATATGAATCTTTCAGGAATTGATGCTGGTGCAAAGCCTGTTATCAATTTCAAGGTATGACTATATCTGGAAACTATTTTGGTTAAAGTTTAAACTCATGCCTGCTAGCCACAATCTGAAGTCATCATAAACAGGGATATTTGGTGGGAAATGGAGTTACAGATGATGAATTTGATGGCGATGCTCTTGTTCCATTTGCACATGGGATGGGCCTGATTTCAGATGACTTATATGAGGTGCGTGGAGCAGCCCCAAAAATGATATTTCATATTTTTATGCCAGTTCCTTTTGCCTTAATAACACTAGATTCTCCATGAAATGACTCCTTATGCAAGATGTCAGTAGTAGGTGTAATTACTTGGTCTAAAAATTTGCTGCAGTGCTTTTCAAAAAAAAAAAAAAATTGCTGCGGTAATAATATTTGGACTTTCTGTTCTACTTTTGACCCGAATCTGTGTTTTCAAATAGTGGGTTTTCTTATTTGTTTGTGGTAGGTCAAGCACATTATCTTTTGCATTTCAAAACCCTGCATGCCATATGGTTTACCTCTTTGAACAAGTTGAAATTTGTAGATGCCCAATTATATAGGAAAATTACATCTGGGATGTTCAAGCGTAGAAGAGCTTAGGGGCATTCCCACCTGGGTGTTCCAAGTATGGAAGTGCCTAAGGGTATTTCAAGTTGGAAGCGCCTAAGGTGTTCTAAACGCAGAAGCGTCCAGGGATGTTCCAAGCGTGGAAGCACTCAGGGCTATTCCAAGTATGGAAGCGCCCAGGGGCGTTCCAAGTGCAGAAATACCCATGGGTTTTTCAAAAGTAGAAACGCCAAGGGCTTTTCTAAGTACAGAAGCACTAAGGGTGTTTTAAGCGCAGAAGTGCTGATGGTGTTTCAAGCGCAGAAGAGCTCAGAGGCATTAAAAGCATGGAAGCACCAAGGGTGTTCCAAGCACAGAAGCGCCCAAGGGTGTTCCACGCACAGAAGCGCCCAAAGGTGTTCCAAGCGCAGAAGCGCCCAAAGGTGTTCCAAGCGCAGAAGCGCCTTGGGACGTTCCAAGCGCAGAAGAACCCAAAGAGCGTTACAAGCATAAAAACACTTAGGATCAAGCATGGAACAACTATTTGTATGAGGAAGTGAAAGTAACTCAGAACAAGTGGCATGGTTCATGAGTTACCTGCACATTTGAGAAGTTCTAAAGAGTTTGGCTTGGTGACTCAGATATGAAAATAGTTAAGAGGACTTCCTCTTAACCTTTCCTTGAAGGATATGTGCTTTACCTCTTTTTCTTTCCTTATTTCTTAAAAATATACGTGACGCACTATCAAATGCCACTATTCCATTTACTCAAAACTTATGCCCCTTACCCAATTACATGATCATTTTTTTAATATCCTGTAAACCGTTCTTTAACTGTTCTTCTATAACAAGCACGTTCTCCCATGAGTAAACATGCTCTCCTAGCAACTCCTAAGAAAGTATTCCTGTTCAGTATAAATATGAAAGCCTTGGAGATTGGAGTGTGGAGGGAGAAATTATTAGAAACTCAACAGAGATTATACTAAAAAGCTCTCTCAAGACTCCTCCACACAGTCTTTCTATTCAGTCTTTTTTCATTTGCTGTTGTCTGCCACTCTTTCTACCTTTTCTCATCCCTCACCACTTGCCACCCAAAGCATTTACGCTTCAAAGACTGCTCCAGTCTTCCTCTCTACTGCCTCTAGCACCACTTATTGCAACACGTCCTCCCTCCCTAACCAAAAGAAGCCTCTACAAAATTTAAGCGTTTGGCAGTTGTTGCTAATACTTTTTGTTAGGAATGGCTGTCATACTAACATAATTGGCAGGTTTTAATGTGATGAGTTGGGACTAAGCAATTGTAGTGCACCTAGAAACCTAAGTTTTGGTACCTTATATGATCAAAAAAAAAAAAAAATTCACATCAACCAAAAATCTTGAATTTATACATACGTTTTTCTTTTGATTTTTGGATTTTTCTTGGAAAGTTTCTGGGTTGTTATTAGAAGCTGTTAGATTCAAACTTGTTGCATCTGCCAGAGTGAAAACAGGCCATAGTTTCTCATTTTCAGAAACATAGTTCTGATAGTTCAAGCTACATATTGCAGGAGGTTAAAAATGAGTGCCGGGATAATTTCTATAGCCCACTCAGTGACACTTGTGAAAGCAAACTACAAAAAGTTGATGAGGTAATTTGACTGCTTAATTGCTCGTTTACAGTGATTTAAGGGAAAGTTCAGATAATTTGAAATTGCATTTTCTTTGATTTGCTTCTAAACTTTTGATTAATTGCAGGACATAAGAGGTTTAAACGTGTATAACATTCTTGAACCCTGTTATCATGAGCCAGAAACACCTGAGACTGCAGATGTTAAGATTAGACTACCTTCCAGCTTCAGGAAGTTAGGTGAGACTGACAGGCCACTTGCTGTAAGGAAGAGGATGTTTGGTCGTGCCTGGCCTCTTAGAGCTCCTGTAAGAGATGGAATTGTTCCAACATGGCCACAACTCCTCAATAGCCAAAGTATTCCATGCACTGTAAGTTTAACTTATTCTGAACTATTATAAACTGCCAAAAGATTTCTAATGTGAAAACTGCTTTTTATGTATCTTGTATCACATTTTTTTAATAAATACATTCATGGGCTCCTTTTTTGTTCCTGTCAACTGCAAATTTGATGCTATTCAGTGGGCATCCCAGCAAAATAGTGCAGTACTGACATGGCCCTTGATGTTGGTAGATTAAAATAGGTCTTGACTCACAACTCTCATAATTGCAAATGAAGTGCAAACTGTGTAAGCATTGGACAAAAAGCTTAGTCTCCTTCCGATAGTTGCTTTTGCATTTGAAAGGGAAAGCAAAATATGTGTTTGGATGTAAAAACAAGTTTTTGTGGAAGTAAAAAGAAAATGGAAAAGAGCAAAGTAGCAAAAATAACAACCAAAAGGAGGCTTATATATGTTCAATATTCGTATTATATAAAGCATTGCACCTCTTAAGGTTGGAACTCTTTCCTCACAAATAAAGATGGAGTGAATAGGCCAGGTCATGCTTGATTGTTTGATAATTAAACTTATACTTTGCTATCAGTATCCCCTTATGCAGTCCATTCTTGTCATTGGATCTAAGAGAAACAAAGGGAAAAGTGAACAATTGGAAGCAAGTCTTTGCTCTTAAGAAGTTTTTTTGGTTAATATCATTTGATGGACTTCCTGTGCTCTTTTGTCAATTTCTTTTTTAAGAGATTCCTTGTGTGCATCTGACTCGTTTAACTGATATGGCGGTCTTATTTATCTGTGATTTGTCTCAAACCATCTTATTGAAAGGATTGTTAAGTTGCATACTCAAAATATTATATGAATTGTGTAGGATGATGAAATAGCAACAAAATGGCTGAATGATGCAGCAGTTAGGAAAGCAATTCATGCTGAAGAGGTAAGCGCTCTCAAAGTCATTATCTCTCCAAGTTTTCAAAAGCAGTAATTTTATGATCCTGTGATGCAATAGGAGACTGTGATCGGTACATGGCAGTTATGTACCGACAATATCTTATATGATCATGATGCTGGTAGCATGATCAAGTATCACAAGAATCTAACTTCTGCGGGATATCGGGCACTCATATTCAGGTAAATCTCCAATTAATGTTGTGTAATATTTCAGTTCCTTTCAGAAATTTTTTTGTCATTTTGTTTTCCCCCTCATTTCTTTCTTTTTTCATTATGGACCTGAAAAAACATAACCAAGGACTCTTTGGGGGATATTGGTGCTAGGCATGGCATGATTCACAAGTCTTATTTCCTTTTTCTTTATTTCAGTTACTAGACAAATGGCAATATCTATATATATATATATATAGTAGGTTACCTTAAAGAATGATTCAGTCTTAGGATGTCAAGATTGTAATTTGTTGGCTAAAATACCAAATATACCCCTGAATAATCTCAGAATTTTCAAAAAAGTTCTTATCCTTTTATTGTACCCACATAAGCCCTTAGGCTATGATTTTTACCTATATAACCTCTTATGTTGACAAAAAGATGTCCTATGACACGTGAGTTTAACAAGTATTAAGCTGGTGGCCAATTGTAATCCTTCACAATGGTGGTAGATGACGTGCCCTTTTAACATGGTGAAATTGGATTGGAATAACCACCTCTTGGGTGGAAAGTTTTTTGTCACTCAACTAATTTTTGTCACATGAAAAAGCACATTAGCGCCATGTGTGCGGAAAATGCTAGTTGGCCAGTGGTCAGATGATGCAAGTCGCATCTGATGTTCAACGTAAGAGCTTATGTGGTACAAATCATAGAATAGAAATTTATTTAGATACAATAAAAAAATAGAAGCTTATTTAGGAAAAACTGAAAAAGTTCAGGGCTTATTTATATATAGCCTAGTTTGTTGTTATGACTTTGAACTTACTGTTCAGAACAAGCTATGGCAGTGCTTTCGGTTTTACCATGCCTCTTCAGAAAATCTCTAGTGTTAATTTCCTCATTTGTCTAGCAAATTAGACGTGTTACATGCTATATTTCACTGTTTCAACCGCTAGTTAGATTATTTTACTTTTTCCATTTTTGTAGAACTTACCTTGTAGTGGACTTTGAATTATTGCTAAATTTTGATATTAAAAAAAAGGAATTAGTTGAAAAAGAATCAATGATGTAGAACAAGTAAGGGAAAGAGATAGAAAACTCAAATTTAGAGGGAAAATCAGAACTAGACAGAAGGAAATAGGGAGGAACTGAGGAAATCGGGGGAAAAGCAGACAATCAGAGGAGGAAGCCAAAAGAATCAATAAAGGGGGAAAATCTCAAGAACCAATATCTCAAAATTTCAATGTTCGATAGTCAAAATCTCATCAAAACTAAAGTAACATAGGTATTTGTACCTAAACCCCTAACTTTAAGAAAATGCAAAATACCAAATATAACCCTAAAACCTTGTTCCTTGTAAAAGAAGTAAAAATAACCTAAATATTCTGAAATATCCTCAATATATAAAAAAGTTACTATTAAACCCATAAAATAAAAAATAAATTCCTATCTAATGTGATCTCTCGACCAGGATAATTGCATCCTCCATCAATAAATTTGTAATACTAGATAATTTGACATAAATTTGAGTGCAAATCAAGTACTGTCTTTGATAAAATATTTGTGGCTTTTGGATGTTGGTTGGCGTATTTGGAGGAATACACTGTGAGAGAAAATGTTAAAGAGGTTGATGGCTCTGGATGCTGTATGATGTTGCCGCAAAATAATTTAAAACTCTCTGTGTAGAGTCTTAACCATAAGTCATGAAATGGGGTTTCAAGCTGGAAATCCCCACCTTAGTGTCATAAATTGTTTAGTTTCTACATATAACCTAGATGGAAGCACAGGAATTTGGCCCCTCCTCTGGAAGACCTGTGCATTGTAAATTTTTCTGAATTTACATTGGGGGATCAAATTTATGATGTTTAAACTCTCATTGCAGCTACTTGCTGGGAATTAAGGAAAACAAGTTAATACCATGAAAAATGCATGGTATACTTTATGTTAGCCATTAAATCTTCTTGATTTATGTTCTCTGATAAGTGGTATGTATTTAACTTTTCTGGCAGTGGGGATCATGATATGTGTGTTCCATTCACTGGGAGTCAAGCCTGGACTAGATCAATTGGATATGAGATAGTGGATGAATGGAGGCCATGGACTTCCCATGGACAAGTTGCTGGGTACTTTTAGTCCCTTTCTTAAGTATTTTATTGTTAAGGAGAATCTCATTCTGAATATATTACTACTAGATTTCCAAATAAGATGAAACGATTTTCTATCCCATAGTAATGGCCTTCATGTTGTGTTTGCAGGTATTTACAAGGTTATGAGAACAACCTGACCTTTTTAACCATAAAGGTATCACATTGCAGATATTTATTTGCTAATATAATGAATGTAGCATGATATAATTGGAACAAATATCTCAGGCTGCCAGTGTTGATTAATTTATTTATTGATTCTGATTGAACCTATTTGTTTGGGTGGGTACAGGGAGCTGGGCATACTGTCCCAGAATATAAACCTCGAGAGGCATTGGATTTTTACAGCAGATTCCTGGCAGGGAAACCTATATGAAAGGCATTTTATGAGCTTGACCTTTGTTTGTGTCTCTTCTTCTTGACATGAAAAGGAGGAATACAAATGGCTTATACACGAGTACAGAAATGAAATAATTTAAGGGGAGATATCAAAGCAATTTGTGTTGTATGAGTTTGTAATATTTATATTATTGGATCTTTATTTGGTGATGATAATCATAGCCTTCTTTTCTTCTCTTTTCTCCTCACTTATGATATATTATAAGGAAATTAGTAAACTAATTAAACAAGACAGGATGTTTCTTTAGATTTATGTATGACAATTAAATTAAAGACATAACAACCAAAATGATAGCTTATTACTAATTTTTCAGATTTCACTAATGTGCATGTTTTAATAACACTTAAATATTAAAAATAAACTTTCCCTTCTATTTTGTTTATCCTTTATTAATTTTTTAGGTCAAATAAATTTAATTTTGACAATTATTTTTAATAAAATTATAATTTTTGAATTTCAAACCTTTTAAAATATATATTTTTGAGATTTTACTTATATATAATATTTTCAAAAAAATGACGATCAAAATTAAATTCATTTGGCTATGGAACAAATAAAGTGATACCGAGAACCGATAATTAGGGCTACCTGCCTAAGTTAAAATGTACGGGCCAAGTCGCGGGTTCCCGACCCAACAGAAATCCTCTTCACCACACCCAAACTAAAAACCCTCCAAAACCCAGCGGAATCGAAGCAAAAGAAATGGCGGCTTTGATACCAAGGCGTCTCATTTGCACCAAAATATCCCGGAATAGTCATCAGCATCAGCTCCGATGGAGCGTAAGGCAGGTTACGAAATCCAACTTCAACGACTCCCTCCACGACTTCCACTCCCACCTCTCCTCTTCCGACTTCGTCGCCGTTTCCCTCCAGAACACCGGCTCTTTCTCCGCCGCTTGGCACCGTCTCTCCTCCTTTGACTGCCCGGAAACCGCCTACCTCAAGGCCCAACGAGCCGCCGACCGCTTCCAGCTCCTCCAGTTCGCTGTCTGCCCCTTCACTATCTCTGGCTCCAAAGTCACTGCCCACCCGTGAGTTCTCGACTTTTTTATAATAACAACAACAACAACAACAATAATAATAATAATAATAATAATAATAATAATAATAATACATTTCTTTTCAAAAAAATTTTAGTTTTAAGTTGCAGTAAGTAAATTTTTGTTAAAATTTGAAAGATTTCAGCTATATAAAATTATTTCATTATTATTTTGTAAAATTAAAGCAAATTTAGAAGGTGAAAAGGAAAAAAGAATCATTAATATATTTGGAAAATTAGAAGTTAATTTATTTATGGGAAATTTCAGGATTACATGTATGAAATTTTAGGTCCAAAATGTTAATTAACTTTTACTTTTAAAAATTAATTTCTAGTTTTCTTTTTTTCTTCTTAGGTCCTAATGTATTTTTTATTGTCATTGCAGTTATAACTTCCACTTGTTCCCTAGGGATGAATTAAACATTGGGATGCCCTCTTACAGTTTTTCATGTCAAACTTCATATTTGACAGCTATGGCTCAACAAGGTTTCGATTTTAACGCCTGCATATATGATGGTAAAAATCCTATTCTCTTTCACTTCTCTTATTGTTCTGATATTGTAAGCATGATGCCAAGTGACACACTCAGTGAAGAACTTTAGTATTGCGTGAGTTATGACATCATTTTGAAGGAATCATAATTGGGATCTATGTTCACCCTGGAATTGTTAACTAAGCTATAAGAGCTTTTCCCTTTTTGACAGGTATATCATACTTATCCAGAGCACAAGAGTTGGTAGCAAAAGTTCGAATGGGCAATCCGATTGCTATACATCATGTTATGAAACCTTCTTCTACCTCACCTAGCGTTGCTGATACGATTTTCGTAGAAAGGGTTAAATCACGCATTAAGCATTGGAAAAAAGCATGCGCAGATTCCTCAAGCAGAAAGACTGATGGTGAAAGATGCAGTATCAGATTTTTGGTTAACTTAGCATCTTTCATTTCCTATTTTTGACTGTGTTGAGTTCTTTTTGGCAGAGGCTCTTGTAAAATCGCTGAGAAAACTTGTCTTAGGGGGTGAACAGTATGGATCTAGACCATGCATGACAATAGATGTTTGCAGTGAACGTCAAGTTCAGCTTGTGTTAGAGGTAGACTCACCTGATAAAGATTAAGATACTTAAACTGGGAGTGATGGAAAAGTATACCTCATGTGACGCTGTTATAGGAAATGGGCAATTTCTTGGGCTTTTTTTTATTGTGATAATATCTTGAAATTTGTTTATTGGTTACAGATGTTAGGAGAGTTCTCTGATGACCTTGTTGCTTTGAAAATCCCAACAAAGGGTGGAGGAACCCAGGCAGTTCGTGTTGTTTTGACAAGTTCAATGGAAGACAAGAGTCTTTTTGAGGTAGCAAATAAATCTCAATCCTTGATCGCGATGAATGATTTGGGTCTTTCTAATCTCTGTCAATGGGGTCTTGATTAACAGAGGGAGCTTCAGAATGTTGAAGAGGAACAAAACAAGAAAATAAGAGGCTTTCGAGAGGTGATCGATTTGATATCTGCTTCGCAGAAACCTGTTGTCTCCCACAATTCCCTTAATGGTGTATCTTTATAGAGAAAGTTTCTAGTAATTTTAGACTATGTTATAGCTGGCTTATGTTTTCGATTAATGGTAGACCTAAACAGTAACTTGCTCCTGCAGATTTCTCAGTTATTCATTCAAAATTCATAGGTCCACTTCCTGTCAACATGGATGAGTTCCTTTGCTCTTTGCGATTAGTTTTCCCCCATGTATTTGATGTTAACCATCTGATGAAGGAAATTGGTCCTTTAGAAAATGTGACCAATGTACCTGCAGCCATATCTTACCTCAAGAATCGGTTCTTTGCACCCATTGACATGGAAATTTCTCATGGAGGTTAGTGTGTCTCTCTAGTTCTATTATGCAGCTGATTTTCATCAATTTCTTTTTTCATTGTTTAATCAATTTCTGCACATTACTTTGTGGTTTTCCAGCTTTGTTAAATGAAGGCAAGATTCATGGGCAAACTGTTTTGAGAATATGTCATTTGTTCGCAAAACTGTGCTCTTTACTGAGAATCACTCCTGGTGCTATCCAGTCTAGTGATGACAATATAACTTCTCTCCTTGATGGATATGCAAATCCCTTCAAATCATGTTCTGGAAGTTCTCAAGAATCAGTTGATGGGGGTATCAGAATTTGGACAAAGGGCCCGAGGAAAGTAGGCTGTAAGCATTTAGTTTTCTTGTGGGGATTTAGGGATAGCTTATCTGCTGGAATGCTTAAGAGCTTGCTCCAAGGGTCGCATGATGTTTTCTCTGAAGAATTTGATGTCTGTTTGGTTGATAAGAGCTGTGCCATTGTGGTTTTCTTGCAACCTAATTTATCTCAAGCTTTTCTGGATATAATGAGTAGCGAAGGAATCAGTGGATCATTAAGGGAATTGGTTTCAGAAGGCCTAAGGGCAGCAGGTTATGAGACTTACAAGAGGGCATGTAGTTTGGGTTATTGGGAGGCAGATTTAGCAAGTTCCTTAGACAAAGCCTCTGCAACTCCTGATTGTTTTTCTCAAAGTGGTTCTGAAACAAATCCATCAGAGGTTTACTGGTGCAATGACTTGATGATTAACTTGGGCGACCTGTGAGGTATAAAAGTTTCCACTTCTCAGGTATTTGCTTCAACTGAGTAGGAGGCTTGGAGTTGATACTAATTTGAGACTAATCTGATACCAACCTCTGAAGTCCAGATCATTGATTGCATTCCTGATAGGCTCGAACATTTTAAGAAGTCAGAAATTTTGCTTATAGGTTAATTGCCTAAGTTGCAACGGTATATTTGAAAGTTATGGTGGACCATATTTAAGCCAGGTCGAACAATATTTGATTGCATTTTGCAAGTGTTTTCCTTGTATTGCTGCTAATACTATGCTAACATTTTTACACCTAGACTTGAATATTTTATTATTTGTCATGTTTTGACAACTAGGCTATGTTTCTTAGGGAGGAAGGAAAAGAGTAAAGGAAGGAGAATTTTTCCCAAAGGTACGGTTTTGGAGGAGGGACCCAGTTTTTCGAGCTTTGGCCTGAACACCCATTTAATAAAGGTTTCGCAATTCTCCATTTTAGCATTATTTATCCTTAATTTTTCAAAGTTGTTAATCTTTTAAAAGAAAACCAAGAGTTTTCCTGTTGCAGAGAGAAGAACTTCAACAAATAACTACTACCACTATATTATTTTCCCCAAGTCCAGTCAAGCTGACAATTTCGGCCATTTCAATGAAAACCAAAAATAAAGAACTATGTTTAAAAAAAGATTAGAAATAAATATGATTATGATGAAGGCCAATTGAGTTTATGCTTATTGAAACTGGTCAATTCACAATTCACTATATAGATATGCTATTAGGGATTCCCCTTCCACAAATATCCTCCTTCTCCTCGGAGGGACCCTTGGTTTTGGATGTATCAGGATACAGAAGCTTGTAGGGAATCTTGGCATAACCCCACCTGTTGGACAGGTTATATCTTTTATTCCTTTCCAGTATATTTCCCTCTATTTTTCTAAGTCGTTCTCTGAACTCTTCAAACTTTTCGTTTACCTCTTCATTCTCTTTCCTCATCTGGTCCGGTGGCCTTTGGTCCAAGCATGAATCATCAGATGTACGGCGTGAGAGGTAGTCATGTTTATTCTCTTTCCACATGTTGTCCGGTGGCCTTTGGCCCAAGAATTCCTCATCAGATGTATGGCGTGAGAGAAGGTCCATTACTGCTATAACAAATTCCATTTCAAACTTTTCAGGCAACATCTTGACAAAAAACTTCTCAGGATCCTGCAGCATGTCGTCATATTCTTGTGTACCTTCTTTTGGAATGAACTTCCTCAATAGCATGGGGCGATTGGGAGGCCAACCGGCATATGCATATTGCCCAAAGTTCACCGCAGCATGCATGCCTGAAGTAATCCATATCAGAGTTGTTAGAGCCCTTACCAGGTTATCAAGAGTTGTAAGATCATACCACCCTTTCTCTTGATCAACATGGCCCACACTTCTAATCTCCTCCCACCAATCTCTGATTTCCTCATCATTCCTGACAGAACGATCGCTTTTATAGAAAATTTGGCAGTATGCTCTCACCCATGTCTCAATGGCATCCCATATCTCAATTCCATCCTTAGCATAGGGATAGTCTTCTAAAAGGAGCTTCACCCCAGCGGGAAATGTCACCTTTTCATCCGGAGTTGCTGGATTCTCGTCCAATTCTACCACATTCTGGTCTGTTTCTGCCACACCCTCGTCTCTCTCTACCACGTTCTCGTCTGTTTCTGCCACACCCTCGTCTAAATCTGCCACATTCTGGTCTGTTTCTGCCACACCCTCGTGTCTCTCTGCCACATTCTCGTCTATTTCTGCCACACCCTCATCTCTCTCTGCCACATTCTCGGTTTTCTTTGCCAGATCCTCCTCACCTGTATTCTCTGCTGGCTTCTCCTTTATTTCGAAGACCTTTTCTTTTGCTTTTTCTGCCATACCTCTGAAATATTACAATATTGTCATCATTAAATCAAGTTAAATAATGAGTTTTATGACATTCCACATTGATCAATGCAACTTCTAAACGCCCGTGGCCAAAAAAAAGAAATCATTTGTTCTGGTAAATTCTATATTTGGTCAAATCATTGCTTGCAACTTAAATCTATAGCGTTTGCTAACAATGGTTAATTGATAGTAATTCGATCACCATGCATATGGATCCTCTTATACTAACCGAATGAAGCAATAGAATTTTTGATTCATGTATTACCTTTTCTCAAGATCTTTTGGAAGGGCTTGCTCATCAAATCTCCATTGTTTATAGACGTGAGAGGACAATCGCATGGAAAATTCACCTGTAAAGAGTGTTCTCTCTAGAATTCCTCCTGCATTCAGGAAGATGCCTCGAGCCAATGCATTTATATGCAAGGTGTCTTTGAAATGAGGATCCAATAGCCAATGAATTGGATGCATCACGCTCAACTGTCTTCTAGTGGCAATAATGAATGGTTCAATTACTGCATGAGTATGCAACCTTGATCGAAAAAGGTACAACAAATAAATATAACATTAGGCTTCAGTATACATACATATATATATAGCCACAGTAATATTTTATTCAATACCGCAACTAATAGGAACCCATTTAGATTTTAATTAATTAAGCACCATTATACAAACTACATATCATAAGTTGTTGAAGAGATGATTGGCAATTAAGTATAAGTGACTGTAATATTGAGTCACAGTACTCTTTAAGTAAATGTACATTGAAAATTTAAGTTATGGAGAAAATTTTCAATATGTAAAATGTACATCACACTAAGAAAAGTGTGCTTTAGTGAGGGTTACCATCCACACTAAAAGTCTCTTTTCTTCTAGTGTCAATGGTAGGCAGATGAGCCGATAGTATACAACTAAAGACCTTATTTTGCATTGAAGTTAATGTGGACAAATGCTGAGCCTTCAATATGTGCTGAACCACAGAGGATTAATAACATTGCAAGTATTCATAACTTTTACGCTTAAGAAATACTAGTAATTTAATTGATCCAAAGTAAAATTTTCGGTCCACTAGGAGCTTCCTTGATTAGAGAAGAAATTAATTTAAACATAGGGAAATGCAATAAACTAATTGTAATGACTCACCAATGGCTAACTAATTGGTGGTGAGCTGCGTCATTGGCTGCAACGTGAGCTTTTGCAAGGTCCCATCGATCATCATTTCGACCAAGGACCATGTTGCTATCAGGCAAGCGAAGCTCTATTGCTATTGGTGTTAATTTGTCATTCCACCTTGAGAGTAGTATTGTTCGAGTTGCATAGGCACAAACACCCTTTGCATTTATCATGCTTAGAAATGGCAGGAGGTAGTCATCGTGTTCCAAGATGAATAATTCGTCATCTTCTTCCTTTTCCTGCCGTGTACTAGTATTTAGGAATTTAATTAAAAAGGAAAACTAGCTAGATTATAAGGAAAAATGGCAATCTTATCTCTACAATCCGCATCAAGCAGTATATGTTTCTATCTTGGTGATATGACTTTGTTTCTTTGTAAATCAAAAGGACTTTATTGATTGTACACTTTCTTGAAAAAACTTGTTCTCTGTTTACCTCTTGAATAAGTTTCAGGCTCTCCGGAAGCGAATCTTCTCGAGGTGAGAATTCCTGCAAGGTTTTTTAAAGTAGGGGATGACAATCTATTCCAGGGCTAAAATATTAGCAATGTATATTTATAGATGGAATCTGGTCTTGGGGAAGAGAGACCTTTAACGACCGGATTCGTACTGGATTTGTTCCTGCAAGCATTTGGCGTCCAAACTCATCGTCATCAAAGCAATCATACTGGTTTTCTGTCAACAAGAAGCAGCAGGACTAATATTAGTCCTAGATAGAATGTCCACCTGACTCCAACCTGGAGATGCTAGTTACAATATCAAATTTAATTGCTATACCTAATTACCTGCCATAATTGAAGGAGATTGTGAGTTGAGGACGTTTCTTTTGGTTGTAGCATCAACAACTTGGTTAAAGATTTCAGCTGGTACCAACTTTTTCAGCTTCTGCTTGACTCGCTTATCCATTTCTTTTACTTGTTTATCGGAGAAAATGGCGACTATGTCATCGATTGAGTCTAAACTTTGGGTATCTTGATGGGATGGTGGTTTTGGCTTCCTTAGAACGAAATCAACAATAGACTGAATCATACTAAAATCAGCTGTTGAAAATGCTGACTTGGGAACAAAGAAATGTAGGATTTTCTGAATGAGATTGGGACACTCTTGATACGACTGGGGTGGTTGGTCTGACTTGGGGGTAAGAAATCGCACAAGAGCATTGACGAAGTTGTCTCTGAGTTGTTCTTGTTTCTTCGGGCTCAAACGCTCATCAGGTGGAACAAAAGTTCGAAAGCATCCTACCGGCCGAGACTCGGTCATATGGTCTACATACAACAAATGCCAAATGTGAAGAAATTCCAAGAAATATAAATAAAATTGTGTCTTAAAACAGGATTGTATCTATATATACCATGCTGGGAAAGAGGGCGGCCTGTTCTTAACCTGCGTGGATATGGATACTCCTTCGAACCCCCCAAAATAGGCCTAGCATACTCTGGGCTATTGTCAGGATCCCCAAGATCATTGTAGCAATCATATTCATATATTCTATCCCATGGTTGCCTCTCATCTTTCAACCCTCGTCCTCTCAGTTTCTTAAGTTCTTTTTTTCTCAGTGCAACTAAACCGGGGGGTGTTCTGTCTGGAAGATACAACTGTGTGAAGAGGGAAATAATATTAGTGTTTGCTCAAGTTAATATCAGCATTGCCTACTTATTGGTTTTCTAAGAAATTTAATAGCAAAATACCAAAATGGAATAATTATATGTCAACATACTTGGTTTATGAAGAAAATCCGTTTAACTCCGGTCTTGTCAAGTGGGTACACCCAGGAAGCACAACGGAAAAAGAAGTCCTCCTCCTCGCCGTCAGGAACAGGACTGTTGTACTTGAAAGTGGCGGATTTGAGGAAGAATTCATGCCTGCCTCTGTTTTCTACAGCAAAAGCCCCTGGAGAGCCGAACCCGCGCACCACCTCAAAGTTCAGTTTGTATTGGATTATACTCGGTTTCCGGTTGATTTTCCACTTCTGTAGATGTGCCTTCTTACTTTCCAACCCGATCCTCGTGTCTATTACATCGCAATGCAGCACAGGATTACTAATTTTACTGTATGACATGTAAATTATCTCAATTTTTAAATAATAATATTTTTATTATTAAAACATTATTATTTTGATTTTCAAATAATTAAAAGATAATATATGTCTCACTTCGTATTTCAAATCACCATTTACTTTAATTATCTCCCGATGTTATAATAAAAAAAATTATAATACATAATTAACAATTGAGTGATTATAACAATAATATTTATAAATTTTACGGATGAAATTATTATTTTTTAACATTAAACGAGGAGAACAAAGATATCTTGAAAAGTTAATTGATAAAATTAAAACATAAACTGAACTTACGTGGATCGACCTTATCGCTGCTGTAAATCTGAATAGCAACGGATCGTTGAGTGGGAAGGAGACAAATCCTAGGGGAGTGATCAATCTCAAAAGTTCCCTCGATAATGTCGTTTTCAGGGTCAGGGCGATAGCAACATGTTCTCAGTCCACAGCAAGTAGTTTCTGCCATATTTAGATAATGCCTCCTTCAGTTCGCAGAAATGATGAAGGAGAAGGAGCGGAGACATTGCTTGCGCTTGGAGAAGCATATATGCTTTTAGCTGTGGCCTTTGAATCTAATGCTTTGCCTGCTCCTTGAGTTTTCTCCTTCGGCACTCTTAGACCTCAAATTCCCACCTCGTGTATTCTGCTTGCTTTCGTCCCTGCCTGTTGATGATGTCACTTAGTGTCCTCGTGAATCGATTTCTTTCCCACCAAAAAAGTTTAAATATTCATGAAAATTATGATGTATAATTTAATATTTAAACGACGTTTGGTATTTTATTGTAAAATAATTTTATAATTTTTGATATAATATGAAAAAGTAATAAATTACAAGTAATATGATTATTAAGAAGATTAGATTGTATTTGTTTAGTTTCAAAACACTTTACTAGAAATATAATTTAAATTTATAAAATTACCTTTATATATGAAAAATATAAAATTGAATAAACTTACATTCTTTTTAATATAAATTTTTAACCTTTTAATTTATTTTTAAAAATAATAGATAATAACATGACAAAAATAATATTAAAATATATAAAATTATTAAATATTTATTTTTAATAAATAAACTAATTAGTTAATTTAATTAATTAATTTAAAATAATTGATCAATTAATAGTGTTTTTGGAAAGAAGATGAATTTTATTTACTTCATCAAACTCAGTTACATCGTGAGTATCTACATAGATCAAGTTACACAACAAACCAACCCACAATATTCCTATGAACATGAAAGTTAAGCCTCATTAAAAACCATCTCATGAAAAAACCCATTAGGATAAAACTCATGAGATAGGAAAAGAGAGTACCCAAGCTATCCATGTAAATCTAAATCCCCATAATCAAACCTCAGTTAATTCATGGACATAACATCTTTTAGCACAATATCTTTTATGGTGGACGGCAATATAGAAAGGTCCCTCCATGCCTTCAAATTTTCCCTCATTTCATTAGTTTAAGTATTTGTTTATAACATTACAAATTTAAGTAATTACTTAATTATTTATAACACATTACATTAATTAAGTAAATAAATTATTTAATTAATTCATTAATTAACATCTTAATTTATTTAAATATTTTAAAAATGACATAATATTACTAATTCAGTTAATTGCTTAATTACTAAACATTTAATTAATTTAATAAATCCTTAATTACTTTAAATACACCCTAAATCTTACAAAGTTAACTAATTTAATTAATTTCTTAATTAGCAATACATGATTACTCATAATTAATTAAATTATGTAATTAATTCTCTAAATCCTTAATTAATTTAATTAAATAAAATATTATCTAATATTACTTATTTAATTTATTTCTTAATAAATAATTTAACTAATTCCTTAATTTCTAAAACATTTTTTCATTTGATTAGTTAAATTCTTCCACAAATATGATAAAACCTTAATTAAATAATTATAAATTTTAAGGTATTTACTAATTTTCTTAATTGCTTAATTATTATTATTTTTTATAAATAGGAAGATAAAATTCAACTACATCATTCTAGGCCAAGCAATGCCTAGAAAGTCTGAAAATAAAATTGAATTTAGACTAGAAGGTGGAAGATCATAAATGTGTAATCTTAAAGATTGATTATCCTGAGGGGTGGTCAGTCAATTGACACATTAATTTGCTTCACGATAAATGTAAGAAATAGTTCTTTCAATAGATTTAACTGTTAAAATGATGTACTTCATTCAATATTTGGCTCAATTGAGAGGTAGCCTAAGGCTTGCAAGGTATAGAAACATTGATGCCTTACTTGTGTCGCTCATGAAAACAACTCTAGAACATGTCTTTTATTGAACTTGATTAGATTAACGATTCGTATTTATCTTGCATGCTTCAGATACGAGTTAACACATTTCACAATTTTCAAAAGCTTGGAATCATCTTACTATTGATCGTGCATGTGCCAATCTTGGACCAAAGGAGAGCTTGATCGAAAGGGAAATGAAGCAGAACAAGCAAAATTGGGCAATAATTAGATGTAGGATTTAAATTAAAATGGTGCTATTTGGATAACACAAGAAGTCGTTTGTTATGTCATCCCTTGTTATTCACACTCCATCCATCTATCAACTTAGTTTTTAATTATAAAGAATTAAAAATATTTAACCTTTGATTATTACAATTAAAACTTTTGATCTCGTAATTAACAAAATACCCAAATATATAATCTGAAATTAAGCATTTAGCCTTTTTATTTTTATATGAAGACAACTGCACCACAAATGCCACCCAGGTGGCGGCAGATACATTGCTTATGTTTTGTATATCTGAAATATTGACCAACAATTTATTTTGTTGATGAAATTACTGTCATATGTCTGTTTCTCGAAATATCTAAATTAAATTTTAAAAAAATAGTGCATCATGAGGGGCGGACGGCCACGCTAGTAACAAAAATAAAGCGGTAGATTTTAGGGATTGGGAAGGCGAGAGTTTTGGGACGGGGAATTGGAGCGAGAGGGTTTCGAATAAAGAAATAAAAGGATAAGGAAAAAGAGAAAGAAATGAGAGAAACCGCTGGCGGTAGAACCAGGGTTACGACGACCAAGGGAGGCTTGAGAGAAGAGGCCTAAATTTAAAATACAAAATGGAGAGGAAGCGAAAAGGGATTGAGGAGGGCATCAATGGCAGAAGCAACACCACCAATGCCAGCGTGGAAGAGCTTGAAGAGGACAGAAAGGTCGCTGACTAATATTTCGGGGTTGAAAGTTGAGAGGAAAGGAATTAGAATTAAAAAAAAGGTATTAGGGTAATGGAAGTGGGATGCCTAGAATATGGCAGCCAATTAAACCAAGATTTTTGGAGGAAATAAAAGAAAAGAAGAGGAAAAAAGAATATAGAAAAATAATAAAATGACAAAAATTTTTGATAATATTAAATTAAATAAAAAGTTTTTTTACAAAGATTGGTGCGAAAAGATTTTTTTACAGCCCACTTTTTTTTTTTTACATTTTATTAATAACGAGTGAAATAGAATACAGAGAGAGAAAGAGATTGAAAGCAGAAACAGCAGGAACCATGGCTTCAATGGCACTAAACTCCCCAAGCGCGAACCATTTTGTTAACGATGGCTACGCTTCTTTCAGTAGAGTTAGGTTGTGTTCCTTCTCGTTCGAATCGAGCTTGTACGGCTGCAAAATCCCTAAGAGACAGCTTTCACTGTCTGTCAACGAGACCAGAACAACCCGACCCAAACCCGCATGTTATTCGGGTTCAGAACCGGTGAAGGCATCTTCCCATTCTTTCGACGTCGTGATCGTCGGAGCGGGAATCATCGGGTTGACAATCGCTCGACAGTTTCTAATCGGGTCGGATCTATCCGTTGCAGTCGTTGACAAGGCCATACCTTGCTCCGGCGCCACTGGTGCAGGTAAAGCTTTTTTTTGTTTTTTCTTTTTCCAACTATTATTCCCCTCCGCCATTCTCTTCTTTTCTTTTCCTGGTTTTTTTTTGGTTTGTACTAAACTCTGGTGGGTGTAGGACAGGGGTACATATGGATGGTACACAAAAATCCTGGAAGCCAGACATGGGAACTTACCAAAAGAAGTCACCAACTGTGGAAACGGCTGGCTGAGACAATACGTGATCAAGGCATGGATCCTCTTCAAGTATTGGGTTGGAAAAGGACAGGTATGATTTGACCGTTATAATAATTGCATGGTAATGTCAGATGTTAATGTCCGGTGACTTTGTATTTCGTTATCTCTTTTTAATTGGAAATTGAGTTAAACTTTTTGGAAGTCATGGTAATTTCTAGTGTTTTGAGCTGTGTAGGAAGCTTGTTAGTTGGTAGAACTCCTGGGGATTCAATGATGTTAAGAGAGAGGGTGAGGCAGCTATCTGAAGCTGGGTTAACAGCAGAGTATTTGTCCAGCAATGAATTGCTCTCCGTGGAACCTGCTCTTTTGGTTGGGAGTGATGGTGGGGCTGCTTTTGTACCTGGTGATTGCCAGTTGGATGCTCTTCGTACTGTTGCATATATCGAAAAGGTGTCTTTGTTTTCTTTTTCCTTTAGTTATTTAATGACATTTGGCTTAATGATTGCTTCATTTTTAATGTCATCCCTTTTCATGTAAATAATATAGACTCCAATGATCTATAGGTTAACAGATCTTTTACACTGGAAGGTAGATATGCAGAGTTCTATCATGAGCCAGTTACAGGTTTAGAAAGGTCTGTCATCATTTTCTGCATCATATTAATGATGAGAACAAGGGACAAAACATGTGTGTGTATGATTATTCAGGTCTTCGAGTAACTCTTCTAACTCCTGTAGTTCAGATCTACTAGTAGTGGGAAGGTTGAAGCTATTCGGACTTCCAATAATACCCTGTATGGTAAGGCCGTTGTAGTTGCAGCCGGTTGTTGGAGCCGGTCTCTGATGCATGACCTGTTCGGAGGCTCAAATGTTAAATTGGACGTCCTTGTAAAGCCTCGGAAGGTAAGAATCCAAGATATAAATGGATTTGCATAATTTAAGATTTCTTATTTTATTTTTCTATACTGCCACGTTTGTCATTCTGTATAATATACTTGCAAATGAACCTATGCGTATGCTTGGATCTCTATCTTTGTTTAGGCCATGGTTTCACTAAACTATTTATTTTTTGCTGGTTGACCACATTTATTCTCTTATCTCTGTTGATTAACTGGTCATGTTGGAAGTGCTAGTCTGGTATTCGTGTCCAAATTCTATTAGGGACTATAGTCTTTTTTAAGCATTCTAGTTGTGCAACAGGCTTCAATAGTCTTTTATACTAATTCTCTTTGGTTTGAGATTTTGATCTTATTCAATAAATCCTTGAATTTGGCGGCATATCAATATAGCAGAATTCCTCTTTTTTTTTTTCCCTCTGTTCTCTCTCTGTATGCTGTTGTAGGATGGTAGATCCTTTTGCTATATCAAACATTTATGAAAACAAAATAATTTTTGGGCTGATATCCTAAGCTAAATTCGATATATTAATGTTAAAAATTCTTCATAGTGCTGTGTAATGCTCTGGATAATTCATCAGTGTGCTGTTGCAGTCAGGCATATGTTTGGACATATTGTATTGGCTTTTTTTATAGACTAATAGCTGGTTAGGCATTGTGTTTGGCTCTGGAAAAACATCTTTTGGCAGCCAATGCAATGCCAAACACACCATGGTTTGAGTGCAAAAGCACTTTTTTGTCAGCAGTTTTTGAACCAACTGCAAAAGCCCCTTGAAGGTGTTTTTAACTCTCTACGGTACTTTTTAACAATAATGCCAAATACTCAAAAATCTCAAACTACAATTTTTTACAGCAGTTTTCAAACGCACTTTTCCCAACTTAAGCTTTTTCCAATCACAACAGCAATGCCAAACTAGGCTAAAGAACTTATTTGGCCCAGCTAGAGCTTCTGTAAAACGTCTTGTTTCAATATTTTGCAAGAGTTGTAAAGAGACTTAAATATCAAATCTGCATAATTCAGAAGTGCTGTAAGATATAAAAAAACTATTTTTGTAATATTTTAATTTCTTTTTAATAAATAAAAGACTCGCCTTTATTGAACAAAATCATCAGTTTTAGAACAAAAAAAATGATTGAAATAAAATAATCTTTTATTAATAAAAAATAATAAAATGAATTAAATCAAGATAAAAAAATTGAACCAAATAAAAAAGATGAATGTGAAAAAATATAATTTTTCTTATAATTTTATGAATTATTAAAGCACAAAAATATCTCGCCAGACACCCACTAAATGCTGATGCGGTTGTTTGGAATAAATCATATGTTTGATTATATCTTATGAATGAAACAAACCAGTTTCAGCATGCTTGGGCATGCTGTCCCAAGGTTTTTCATACTTCTTCACTGTTATTAAGTATGATCCATTTATAGCCGTGTCTTAGAGCAGAGTCATGTTGGAACGGGCTCTTTGGTTATAATTGTAGAACCATGTAATGCCTGAACATGCACATGTTATATGTCTAAAAAGCTAATAACATAGTTGCATTTCAAAATGTAAACTATGATGTTACCATCATAAAAATGCAACTATTCTGTCTCCTCAAGAAGGAAGCTCAATTAATATCTGGTACAAAGCTTCTCCTACTAAATGCAGTTGAAGAGTTCCTTACGTGTCTTGGGAGGAAAATTTCATGAATGTAGTAGGATGATATTTATGAGTTTCAATAATGCAATTCATTGATGCATTTTCCATGCTTATTTATTTGATTTTTTAAAAAGTTATTTATGTAATGTCTGCGTTGCCTTTTATATCCACAACAGGGTCACCTTCTTGTGCTTGAGAACTTTAATTCCCTTCAACTGAATCATGGTTTGATGGAGGTTGGTTATGTAGATTATGAAAATGCAATTTTACCTTCAGGGCTGAATGATCAGAGCCAAACCCTGTCTGTTTCAATGACGGCCACAATGGACACAATGGGTAATCTTATTCTAGGTAAAATTTTACACTTACTGCTTGCCATTCTCAATGCTAGCTTTTAAATATTCATTTACTCATGGTAAAATTATAGTTTTGGTGTGGAAAAGAATATATTGTCTGCTTTTATGTTCTTATTATTCTGCTTCTTTTTAACACTCGAGGAAAAGTGAGAGTTCATGGACCTTCAAAATGTTGTTTGTTTTCCATGCTCTTAGCAAAGTCTTTAGATTCTAACTTTTATGTCTTATTGTTTAATAATATGGTAGATGAAATTAACATTTACTTTTTTTTTATCAGTAGCCTTTATTTCTGCAAAATAAAATGCATAAATGGGCATTATTATCTATGCCTTGCATGTTCTTTGCATACATTTTCCAGTTGATCATGTTAATTTGGTGGTGTACATGCTTATTTTCTCATAAGTTTGATCTGTCTTTCAGGGAGCAGCCGTCAGTTTGCTGGGTTCAGCACTGAGGTCGAAGATTCCATCATTCTTCATATATGGAAACGGGCTGGAGACTTCATTCCCAAATTAAAAGAACTTTCCCTCAAAAATTTCATGAAGAACAGAAAAGTGAGAGTAGGGCTACGCCCTTACAGTAAGTCCATGTAGATTGCATCTTGTGTAATATTTTGATCTTTGGTAGACAACTATTAGAAATTTATACTTGCAGAATAGATTGATTTACATGAAATTCCTGAAATGATATCTTTACTTTTCTCAGTGCCTGATGGGAAACCAGTGATTGGACATGTGCCTGGTTTATCAAACATGTTTCTTGCAACTGGGCATGAAGGAGGAGGGCTTTCTATGGTAAATTTTGTTTTATGTATTATATTTTGGAAAATTTTATGTTGTTCCATTTTTGTAGTGAACACTTGGTCATTCCATATTGTCGCTTCTAGTCCATAAATGGATAATATTTTGATCACTAATTATTTTTACAACGATTTGTCTAACTTTGATAATTCTGCTTGTTGTATCATAGTTCATGAAAAATGATTCATCACTTTGGTTCAATTTTCAGGCCTTAGGAACTGCAGAAATGGTTGTTGATATGGTATTGGGCAATCCCCCACATGTTGATAATTCACCCTTTGCTGCTCAAGGTCGATGTTGTTAGAACAATGTTCCAAAGAACATCGGATAAATATTAATGGACAGATCTAGTTGAGCAAATCTTAAGCTGCTGGTTAGATTGAGAAATCAGGAAGTTACAGTGTCACATTATCTTACTTTTCAGGTCAAAAATTGTATTCAGCTGTAACTGCAATATTCAGCATCTCTATGCCTTAGCGACATTTTTCTTTTTTCTCTTTTCTCTTTGCCCTGGGAGAATGTCTGGAATGATGTATCCTGAAATTTTTTGCAAGTATGTATACGTTATGAAGTATGGGTTGGTTTGTTTTTTCTTTTTGTTCCTTCATGAACTGTTTTACAATTGCACGTTTATCTACATATCTCATAATCGTGTTTGCATAATATTTAATATAGTTATATGTTTTCTTCATAAATAACTTATATGGATACACTATTAGGAATCCCTTTTCCTGTGATGCCCTCTCTGAATTCTACCTTAGTTGCATCAGGGTAGAGAAGTCTGTACGGCATCTTTATCAGCCCGCGCCTATTCTTCAGTTTTGAATCTTGATTTCTCTCCATGACTTGCTTCTCTATCTCCTGGAGAGATTCGTTGAATTTCTCAAATTTCTGCTTGACCTCGTTGTTGTCAATCCATTCTGATGTTGCCCTCTGACCTAGGTAAACTTCATCAGATGTGTGCCGTGAGAGGACCTCCATTAATGCTATACCAAGGGTTGCCTCAAATCTATCAGGTAACATGTTGAGAAAGTACTTGTCTGGATCTTTTAAGAATTCGGCAAACTCCATCGTCCCTTCCTCTGGAATGCACTTTCGACACTGAGTGGGACGATTTGGAGGGTAACCTGCATATGCATATTGTCCGAAATTCACTGATGCATGAAGGGCTGATGAGATCCATATGAGGGTTGTTAAAGTCTTTGTAAGATCTGTCTTGGTAGTCATTTGGTACCACCATGTCTCGTTGCGCTTATCACCATGACCGACATTTTGAATTTCTGACCACCATGCCTGGATTTCCGTATCAGATTTCACAGAATCATCATCTTCGTAGAAGAGGTCGCAGAAATCTGTCACCCATGTATCGATGGCCAGCCATACATCGAGACCGTCCAGACCATAGGGGTAATCTTGGAAGAGGATTTGAGCCCCAGTGGGGCTTTCTGGGTCTTCCAGGGCCATGCGCCTGGGAAATGAAAAAATTTTACGTTTCTCAACTCCAACCGTTAAAGGTTTTTGAACGTTCCGCCACTTTTTAGGTGAATTGCTAATAATCTATTAAACTGAAGGCTTTTTCAACGTTTTTTCTGATCATCTTATCTTTATTTTGTTCAAATCTCCCGTTAATTATGTTGTATTAATTACTGAAAGAAAGGAAATAGACATGCACTTGCAGATTGTTGAGGATCATTACCTCTTGACAAGATCGGAGGGGAGAGCTTGTTCATCGAATCTCCACTCTTTATAAAGCTCAGAAGACAATTCCATGGAATATTTGCCCGTAAAGAGTGTCTTCTCAAGGATTCCTCCGGAGTTTATGAGAATACTCCGAGCCAGTGCATTTATTTGCATGGTGTCTTTGAAATGAGGATCCAACAGCCGGTGAACTGGATGCATCACGCTCAGCTGCCTTCTGGTGGCAATGATGAATGGCTCGACAACTGCATGAGTATGCAACCTGGAAAAAGGTGTAATATTCTTCTGAATCAGTCCAGTGAAAGAAAAATTTGTTATCATGATTCATTAGGGACGAGAGAGTTTTCAGAAGAGCTATGGCTCATCACCAATGGCTGATGAGTTGATGGTATGCCGAGTCATTAGCTGCTACATGAGCCTTCGCCAACTGCCAAAGTGCTCGATCAGTACCTTCTTTTGCTGGAAGGAATACCCCGCTTCTCATCTCGTTGCTGTATGACGAATCTGGATAACTCAGTTCAATCGCCAATGGCTTTAAGGTGGCATCATTCCTTAAAAATAGCAATGTTCTGGATGCATAAGGACTGACACCACCTGAGTTTATTTTTTCTAAAAATGGAAAGAGATAGTCATGGTGGTCTAGGATGAAAATCCTCCACTGGTTCATTGCCTGTAATACATACGCTGAAAGTCAATTCATAACTTGCAACAAGGTATACATCTCAAAATTTATCTTTACTTGCCAATTCCTTAAGATTACAAGGGTCGGATGTAAAATTGCTTCATGGTTTCATTGCATTGAAGAAAATTCAAAGGGGTTAGGTTACCTGTTCAACACTCAGACCATCAAGGTTGTGCTCTATGTCTGATTTCCATATAGAACTGTCCTGAAGTCTTCCTCGAGGTGGGAATTCCTGAAAGAGCAAGGTACAACAAAATTAACACTCAGAAGATGGTTAGGGAAACCGAAAGTGATTTGACATCAGCTAATATGAACTAGCATTGAAAGGTTCGTAAAATATTTTCCACTGATCCTATTATTTAAAAAAAAAAGTAACATAATTTTCTGATAAGTTTCACCGACTAATAAGCTAATAGTTTAAGAACCAAGTCCGGAAGGTGGAGTGACCTCCAAGCCTTGAATTCGCATTGGATTTATCCCTGCAAGCATTTGGTGCCCGAACTCCTCATCTTCTCTCCATGCCCATTCATTATCTGAAGAAAGGAAAGCAATACGAGTTTATAAGAAATAAAACATTAAGCACACAGCAATGCACCCGCTATGAATAGTAATGGCAGATTGTTGTTAGGATCACCTCTTATAATTTGAGGCAGCGGGAATTTTATGTGGTCTTCTTTGCTTGCATGAGTTACTTGTTTGATAAGCTCAGCTGGTACTAGTTTCTTCATTTTCTCTGTTAGCGTTCCCCTCATTACTTGGCTTCTGTTGTCAGAGTACAGGTCCCGTATCTCGTCGAATGACTCGAAACTACTGGAATCATGGGACAAGGATTTTGCCTCAGGTAGGAGGAAATGAGCTGTGGCTTGGATTGCATTCGCGATGAACTCAGATAGTTTCTTGGGGCTAAATCTCTCATCCGGAGGAACATAAGTGTCCAAGTTAATTGTTTCTGTCCAATAATTAAAATCCAAAGTGAGAACAGGAAGTAATAACCCTTAAGTAACATTGATATATCTGCATTACGCAAAAGTCAGATACCATTTTTGCTTGCGGGGCACCCTGTTCTTCCCCTGCGAGGATATGGATGTGAATCAGAACCACCCAAGACAGGTCTAACATGATCTGGACCTTTATGAGGATTACCAAGATCATCGTAGACATCATAATCATATATTCGATCCCATTCTTTCCTTTCCCCAGTTCCATCCCCTCTCAAGCTTTTAAGTTCTTCCTTTCTCAGCTCTACAAGACCAGCTGGGGTTTGACTTGGACGATAACACTGCAATGACAAAAATGGAATGCCATTTCGAAACGCATAACTACAAAAACTAGACCAAAATTTGTATATAACTTACCGTGTTTGAGAAGAAAACCCGGCTGGTGTTAGTCTTTTTGATTGGATACACCCAAGATCGGCAGTCAAAGTGGATGACCTTTTCTTCTGGAGTTTCCAGAGTTGCAGATTGAAGGAAGAATCTATGCTTGTGATTGTTTTCTATAACAAAAGCTCCTGGATTTCCAAATCCAGGGTCCACATGTAGTTTTATCTTATAAGTTGTGATTTTTGTGCCATCCTTTTTACTGCTCTTTCCCTGCCTGAGGCATGCTTTCTCGCTCAGCTTCCCTATCCTGCTATCTATTGGTTGCAAATGCAATAACGTGAAGGCAGTTAAGAGGGAGAAACGGTCCAACATGTTTTCTATTTTGTCTTTGTAATTATCTTTGCTTAAAGTTTAGGCAGAATAACAATCATCAAAAGATCGAATATAACCAAATATCGGATACCGGAAATGAAAATCATGAGTTCTTTGAATTCTTTCTCACAAAAACATAAATAAATAACAAGAGTATGAACACAACTTACTTGGGTCGAGTTCTGTTGAACTATAAAGCTGAAGTGAAGCTGATTTTCCAGGACCTGATAGTCCAGGACTATGTTCGATCACAACTGTTCCGTTGATTATGTATGGGTTAGCAGGGCGATCCTGGAGACTAGTACTAGAAATTCTGCTCCAGGCAGCACTAAAACAGTCGTGCATACTAGAACATAGGTGATGACGATCCATTCTACTCTTTCTCTCGATTTTTGCTTTGCCTCTTCTGTTGCTCAAAAACTGATGATAATATTAGTTCATCAGAAGCAATTTTTGCATTGGAAGAGAAGAATGAATCAGAGCAATGCAATAAGGAAAGGAAAGGCATGTTCTTGGCTTGGTTGTCAGCTATGAATCTGATTCATTTCTTGCTAGGAAGGTTTCTTGTATAGCACTTTTGGATTTAAATGCTCAATCATTTATGATGTGAATAACATTGATGTTTCCACGATGCTTCTCACCAAAACAAACTAACGTTCCCTCTTGAGGGCTGAGGTACCAGTATGTTTTCTTTTTCGTTTCCTTTTTTGTGGGGTGAATAAAGGAGTAGATAATATTTGATGATATTAATACAAGTACATATGTTCAATATAGTGGTTTGCATGAAAGAAAGAATTGTTCTAAGTATTTCATTGTTCAATAACCATTAAGCATTAATTAAATTTGGATGTATATAACATTGTCAATTGTTTTTTTTCTTTCACTTATTATTGATTTATGAGATGAAATATATCAACTTATTAACATTTTATTTAGTCATTTTTAAATCATAAGCTATGCAAAATTTTTACTTAATACTTTACGCATAATAAAATATACATTTATGATAAATATTGTCAAAATAATTCAAATAAATTTTTATTAATTGATAACTAGCTTGTAACAATCATAATTTTGATTTCTTAGAAAACAGTTATTTTATTTAATATACTTATATCATCAATACATTGTCAACAATTCAAACAAATTTTTATTTCGTGAATATATGGTGTTGATATAAAATGTAAAAAATGTCATATAATTATAATATTATGTTACTATTTTATTAATATTACGTAAAATAAAATAATAAATTATGTTTTAATTAATATAATGAATTAATTGGTAGTTATAAAAATTTATTTAATTTAAAATAAAAATATAAAAATTTAATTTAACTAAATAAAAAATAAAAAATATTTTTAAACAGTTCAGAATTTTTTTATTTTTGTAAAATATTAAGAAAGGGAAAAGGCAGGGTTCGGCACCGCACGCTTTCAAACCGTAGGGACTAGCCGAACCAATTTGCTGAAGACCGAAACAACTCAGCTCCAAACGCCCTGCAGAACTGAAACTCTTCTCATTCTCTCTCTCTCTCTCTCTCTCTTCCACAGAAAATGGCGATTTCGACACTTCAAAAGCTCACTTCCCAAATTCATCGTCTCCCGTCACTTTCCTCCCACATCCTCATCCGATCCTCTGCCACCTTATCCTCCTCCTCCTCCTCCAAAAAAGTCGCAGACCGGATCGTCAAGCTCTTCGCTATCGACCCGGAAGGCCAGAAGCGTGAGGTAGTGGGCCTAGCGGGACAGACCTTACTTCGGGCCTTGACTAACGGCGGGCTGATCGACCCGGCCTCTCACCGCCTCGAGGAGATCGACGCTTGCTCCGCCGAATGCGAGGTCAACATCGCCCAGGAATGGCTCGAGAAGCTTCCACCTCGTACCTACGATGAGGAATACGTGTTGGTAAGGAATTCGAGGGGTCGTATCTTGAACAAGCATTCCAGGCTTGGGTGTCAGGTCGTGCTAACGCCTCAGCTCCAAGGTATGATTGTCGCTGTCCCCGAGCCTAAGCCCTGGGATATTCCATAAAAACTTATTCAAAAAGAGAAATGAGGGAATGTTTAGTGTATTCCTGTTGTTTTGTGGAAATAATAATAATAATTTTGGTACTTTGAAAGAAGAGGATTTTATTTGTGATTTTTGTGCATTGCTCCGCCCTTATGATTTGGGTGCGTTGAAATTTAAATGCAAGGTATTTTATGGATTTTGATTTTATATTGGGATTTTCTTCAATGTCTATGCTTTATTAGGTTGGCGGAAATGTTAGGGAATTAACAGAAAAATTTTAAGAACTTTCTGAAATAGCATTTAATTTTATGGGATTTTTCGCGTGGCTAAAACTTGATGCTAGTAGATGTAATGCGAATTGAGAACTCTGGTTTTTGGTTACCGAGTAATGACATGGATGAGTTATTATGTATCTGTGACGGCTGTAGTATTTCTTTCCTTTTTTTTGTAATGCCTGGATGAAAAGAATGGTGCAACCTTGTGTTTATCTTGATTTGATTCCTGGGTGAAGGGGGCTTTGATCCCAGGTCATTGGTTTGCCATCTCAGAACTTTATAAGCCGTGCTAGCTAGAACTGCCTGTGGTCTACAGGTACTTGCCTGTGTTTTGTATGGTATATATCCTGAAATCAATACAGCTTCATTTGAATCTAGGTTGAACAATGTCATTGAGTCATAGATTTGTAATGCTGGTATAGACAAGATAGTGATGGTTGTCCAGTTAGTTCTGTGGCTTGACGTGGATAAAAGTGGAAGAGTTGGAACCCTATGAGCTCTTTGGAGGGAAATTGCAGGAAACCGTGATTGAAATTGTGAGATTATTCTTCAAGTATTGAAGATCGGGTGGGTTGAAAATTTTTCTAAAGCTGTAGCAAGTAAAAAAAATAAAGCATGATTGTTTCTTTTAAAGGTGTCTAATTTTGTTAATTTGATTTAACAAAGTTGTTTTAATGGAGGTACCTTTGCTGGAAGACTTTTTGGGTAGATTACTCCTAAAATTTTAGATGGTGATCTTTAATTCTTTAGCAAACTTAGCTTTAGGTATAACTGATTAGAAATGATGTAATTTTATATACTCCAATGTTTTATGAGGGAAGGGAGTGATTATGTTTAATGACATCATGCAAGGAATAAATTGGATAAGTACAGCATCTCACTGCACAGATTTTGTCTTCTGTGGCTAGTGATATGACTGAAATTGTATCTTAAATTAACTTGATTGGATATCAGATATCAATTAAACACAGGAGATAATCCACTGCTTTGAACAGTTCACCTGATATTTGATCTCTTTTATGCGCTTCAGCATTGGCTTAAGTCATAAAAGTATAGGGCAGAGCTGGAGTATGTCTTATCAGTTCAAAATATTATACGTTAAAAGCTAAAGAAGTTTTTTATGTAACTTGAATTGTTCGGGCATTCCAAGTTAGAGGTCATCTGTTAGATGCACTTTAATGCCAGTAAAGAGTTTGAAAGGTTGGGAATTTGTAGTTTCTCTATATCCGCTGGTTCTTTTGCTTTTGCTAATTATCATCAAGATGGGGCATTTGGCTTCTGGTACATAAATTAATAAGATGGGAAGAATTTGGTTCAGGCATCATACCATCAATCCAATATGAATTACTACTTTGCTGTAATTGTGGATACTTTTGACATTTGAGTTCCAATAAGTTAACAGACTGCAGTTAATCTAATGGGAGAGTCATTTCTTTTTCCTTTAAATGTTGATCCTTAATATGTTCCCAAAATAACTTTAGGTTTTCAACATGTATGTCAAGATTCCGAAGTAGATCTCGTCATGCCTTGTTTGATGTGATGTTAAAGTCAGAACCTCAATATTGTTTCTATACTAGTGTGTTAGCTTCGACAACAAGGTATGGTTTTATCTTCTAGATGAGAAGGTGGAGGGGAAAACATGTTTGTTCTCAGTTAAAATGCCTTGGATGACCCTCGCTCAAGGCAACTTGCTTGATGCATTTTGTGGGAAGTAAAGAGGATTTGTCAAGCCTTTTCCCTAGCATTTAGTCTAGCCTTTTGCAACAGTCTGATTTTCGTTGGTGCCCCGAGCCTTTGGGAAAAAAAATGTTACTGTACTCCAAATTTCATGGAGAACCTATTCACAACAATATATGTTTCAAATTCTCAACTTGGGTTCTAGAAAGCTCTATTGCATAGTGAAATGACTGATATCCACTTATGGTGCACAAGATAATCTCTCCTTTATTATCTCAATTAATGTATTCAATAATTTTCTTAATCAGAGATTATTGACTGCATGACTTGTTCACCTTACAAGTCGCCTCTTGCTAAATGCCAATGCTCTCATGGCAGATTTTGATGTGCTCTTCGACTTGTTAATCCTCTGTCACAACAAAAGTCTGCGAGGAGATAAATTTACATAAACATCGAACAGAAGCTCCTCCTACAGTCATTTTTCTTACGCCATTTACTGGGGGTAGTGCTCTTTAATGCAGAATCTTTTTAGCAATGCAAGTTGTAGAAGGGTTTTCCTAATAGCTTAACAAGAGAAAATAAACGAAAAAGGAAAGAGTTTCAGTATGGACTGAAATATGTTCCCATATTTAAATCTTCAAATGGGAAATCAATGCACCTTCCTCTTTTGATATTTGACAGCACAAATTTCTCTTCGCAGATAATTCGCTGCAATGTAGGTATTACAGTATTTTTCTTTTTGGTTTTTGGTATGTCGATTAGTGGCATGGTATTTGATAAAATTCAACCTGTGTTGTCTACCTTGGTTGAACCCTACTATTGTACAGGGGAAGTTATATTTTCACACTGTTGATGCCTTGATGCTGTTACAAGTAATGATTCATTGCTTAATTAACCAGGGTCAATTTTTGTTTCGACCCTTTGGAAGTAGAAGTTATTACATAAACTTTTACTACTGCATCATTCATAGGCCCAACCATTAATATGATGCCACATTACCAATCAACGAACTGGTCTACACATGTTCAACCAAAGGAAAATGAAGCAAAAGGGGTTACAATTTCCGAACCTAATCTCACCCCGCGACAAAGCCCTCTCAGCCGTGCTCGCCACTCTCCTCCCCTGCACCCCGTATCGTTTCCCCGTTCTCCTCTTTCCAACTTCCTAAATAACAGATATTGATATCATTTGTGCTAGATTGGATCAAGTTTCAGAAAGCCTGGGTCCACATTACACTAAAATTTGGGCCTTTGGGCCAGTGGGTTATTTTGGACTCCCTAAATATTGAAACCTCATCAAACCCTAACCCTAATTTTCCATGCTTATATATATGTATGTAGTATTACTCGCATTGCCTAGCTCTTCTCTCCGCAACTTATCTTCCTCTGTTGGGTGAGGAACAGAGTTAAAGTGTTTGTGTTCTGTTTTTCTTTTTTTACTTGAAAACAAAAGATCGGATGATATAGAAATGTAAAGCAAGTCAGCTTCTTGGTTGGGTGTAGCTGGAAGCAACCCAGTCAATCAAATACTAGAAAAACTTGCGATATAAATTCAGCCAGTATCACTCACCTGAATCTGATGTCTTTTCCTGATTTTTCAGGCCCTTTTCCTACTGGCATAATCCTTTTCTCTTCATCCCAGATCTCTTCTTTCTTAAAAAGAAGGAAAAGAAATCTTTGCAAACGCACTCTGTCCCAAAACCGTTGTTAGAGACGACTTGTTTTGAGGCAATTTCTTCGTTTGCTATATAAACAATCAAATTGATTTCCAACTTACTCGCCCTTAAGGTCCTCCCTATGTGATCTTATGGGGCACATGGTTGGAATACATATTCCATTCTCTTTTCCTTTGACAAACAAATATTTGCTTTCTTTGAGAATTGCAACTTGAATTATCAAGTCATAGTTCAATTTGTTTTGTATTTTTGAATTGCAAGATTTTGTTGAAGACCCAGTATTGAGAATGGAGACCAAGTCTGAAAGAACCCAATATTAAGCTGGAGAGAGAGCATATAGTTTCATGCATCTCATAAGAAGAATTTGGTGAGCTGTTTTTGTAAAATAAGACTAGTAGAGAAACTTATGCAAGGAAAATGGTTGAGACCAAATAACATTGCCCTAATTATAATTGGACTAACTTAAAAGACAAAATCTCGATCTTATATTAAAACTTGAAAACACATTGCGGGAAAAGTTCAAAACTAAAAAGAATTGTTATTTCTTGGCAATCCGCCTCTGCAATAATCACCTACTCTTGTAATTTGGTTTGCGAGAACTTGTGCAAATTTGTATTCTGAAAACCCTCAAATGTTTTGAAAGGAGGAGCTCTAGAACGGAATAGAGTAGTCCCCGATTGGGATAAATCGCCATCAGGATTCCAGTAGGAGTGGTCATCTGATCCGGGCATGGCAATTTGAGAGCTCCTGAAATTTGGGTTATTCACATGCCCTGGTGAATCATTGTATGGTTTCTGAATCATTGCTTCCATATTGGTCCGTAAGGATTTGTGGGAAGTCTCCTGATTTGGAACTCTTGCCGTGGGTGAATATGGATGACATAAATGACTACAAATATGACCATACGGATGATATAAACCCATCCTTCCCTTCTCTTTTTTGGAAAGTGCTCGTTCACGTTTATGGGCATTTTGGTGCCCTCCTAATGCTTGTGAGTTTGAGAATTTCTTGTTGCAGTAGTTGCATAAGAATTCCCGCTTCTGCTTCTTGTTGATGGGCTCCAAGATATTCCAAGGTCTCTTATCAAGGGACTCCAGCAAATTGAGTACTTTCCTGGATTCTTGATGAACCTCATTATTGTTCCAAAGCCTTAGTTCTAGTTTAGGCTCCATGCTCAGTTTTGCTTCATGAGTCTCCACTCTCATTCTTTTGTCTTGAAGATTTTCCCATGAAACTTTGTTGGACATTTCTTTTAATTATTTTTGTGATTCAAGGAAAGGAAGAGCATAGTATTTATTAGGAGAGGGGTGGATGTAGTGTGTTTCACTTATGGAAAGGTATCTTACCAGAAATTGTTGCATTTCCTAGAATTGGTAATGTAGTAATGAAAAAGCCAAGTTTGATGAAGGATTTATTTGAGTTTCTGACCAAGAATTTCTTTTAATGCACTTTCGGACCAAGAATATCTGTCCAGGGTTATGAACAGCTGGAATTAGTTTCCATGTAAACAAGTGCTTATCCTCTGCAAGATGCCCTTGGTGCAAGAGACTTAAGGTCATTTCTGGTGGGAACATTTTCTCTAACCTCTAATTAGAGCTGAGAGGACCCAAGACATTGAATAGAAAATTAACTAGTGGGAACATGGCTGGCCTGAAATGAAGACTATGTAAGTGGCTTCTGCGTTTTTGGTCTACCAAAGGCTACGTTTTGTACTGACTGTAGTGTTAATGCTTAGTGCTATAAACAAAGCAATGATAACAAGAAGATGTAATCCGAGTATATGTCATGTATTCCTCATCTCTTAAAAGAAGTCTTTGAGACAAAACCTCCCATTTCTTAATTAAACATAATTATTGAAATAAATAAGAAATTATTCAAATTATCTCCATGCCAAGCCAGCTCTCCAAGTGTCAGCATCCTGACCTCTCCTTTGATTAACTTAATTCCCGAACAGAAACTAACAGTCCAATTCCTAAAATAATAATAAAAACCAGCAGCCTACCCAACTTACCGGCCAAGCGCATGCAGAGAAACCTTTGATTTTAACCCTAAATAAATGACTCGAATCTAAACTATAAACGCGTTTTGCATCCCCAAAAAAAGGAAGCTCTCATGCATGTTGTTAAAAACCATTGATTCCAATAGACTCTTGGGTGTACTGTATGCCTTCTCTTTCTCCACCTTTTACTCATTTGTTCTCCTTTTGTCTTCATATCATTTTCCAACCACTTACCGCCTTTTGTATATTTCCTTGTTAATTACCCCTCAATTCTTATTTTCGTCTCTCTCAATCATCCTTTTCTGCTAAATAGCTTTTTTAACATCGACTGGTCCTTCTTTCCATTGCTCTTTTGGCTTCGTTTTCTTTTGTTTGTCGAGCTCGTCGTCTAACTTAATTTCAAGCAAGTTCTTAATTTGTTAGGGTTTTTATTTATTCTTTATTCTCTTGATGGAAGGAATGGATCCAGCAGAGCTTCGCCGGGTGTTTCAAATGTTTGATAGGAACGGAGATGGCAAGATCACCAAGAAAGAGCTTAGCGACTCGCTAGAGAACTTGGGAATCTTTATCCCTGACAAAGAATTAAGCCAAATGATCGAGAAGATCGATGTGAATGGAGATGGCTACGTGGATATTGACGAATTTGGCGCATTGTACCGGAGCATCATGAACGAGAGGGACGAGGAGGAGGACATGAAGGAAGCGTTTAACGTGTTCGATCAAAACGGGGATGGGTTCATCACGGTTGAGGAGTTGAGGTCAGTTTTGGCGTCGCTGGGGCTGAAGCAAGGGAGAACTATAGAGGACTGCAAGAGGATGATAAAGAAGGTGGACGTCGACGGAGATGGAATGGTTAATTTCAAGGAGTTCAAGCAGATGATGAAAGGTGGTGGCTTTGCTGCCTTCAGTTCAAGTTAGTATATACCATGCACGAAACAAAGTAAATCTTCTAGGGTAAGAGAAAAACGACAACCAAAAATTAAGGAAAGACACACAAAACCTTGAGTTCAAGGTTCATAGAGAAAACAACAACATCATTATTGTAAGGATTTGCAATGTCTTCTCTCAATTGTTGTAATTAGTTCGATATTCTAATACGGTGTTGTTCAGTTTGTCTTCATGGATATATGCCTTTTTCTTTCTTTATTATTATTAAATTTTTTTTATCATTCCATTTATTTATTCATGATTAATGCCTTGGTACTACTTAATTGAGATTCAAAGTTAAATATTTCTATTCGTTGATTAACACTTTTCCTTTAACATTTGCATCAGTACGTAGCCCATTATTGAGGTTTAGGCCTCCCTATAGCATATTGATTATCAGATACATATATATGGTGATTCCTCATTAATTTGCATCTTAAGAGAAGAGTCAAGGACAAAATTAAAAGGGGAAACTATTGAAAAATATTATTGATAAACTGTTAAGCAATTTTTTCTCAAAGATACATTGATAAACAATTCAATTTCTTTTACCTTTTGAAATTTTTTAAATTATTATATCAAAATCTGTAATTATTAATAAATATAGTTTTTATTCGTTTAATTAGTTTTTTATATTTTTATTTTAAATCAAATAATTTATTATAATTAACTATTAAATAAATGTTATTATTAAAATATCATTTATTATTGACACGACATAAAAATAATAATATGATCACATAATATTTTTTACTTTCTATATTAACGTTTGTCAACAACATGTGTCATAAGTGACATTCTAATTAATGATATAATTATAAAAACTTATTTAATGTAAAATAAAAATATGTGAGTTTAATTGAATGTGATAAAAAATATTACAATAAGGATTTATTTAAATTTTTTTAAGTAATTAAAGCTTTTTTCAAGTATTATTTCATATTTATAAAAACAAAAGCAATGATGTTTTGTTAATAATACTAGAAGAAAAATAAAGTTTCCAACAGCTTCACTTTTCATAAAAATAAATTTCCACAAATTTATTATTTATTACCTTAATACTATTTGAGATACAATCGAAATATTTTATAAACAAAAAAAAAAAAGAATTCAAAGTCCTTTAAGAAATTCCAACAAGTGATGATCAGTTTACCAGGCCGAAAGCACATAAACGAGTTAAACATAGGGGCGGAACCGTGGGCGCGGGCCTGCACTAAACCGGTTCACCGCATAAAAGGGCAAACCGAGACCAAGAGAGTGCAGAAGAGAGAGAACAGAGAAATGGCGGGGAGGATTTTACGTTCTGCTTCAGTGGCTCTGCGTAAACCTCATGGGCTCAAGAATCTTTCCTCTAATTCATTCATTTTCATCTCCAATAAGTCCTTTAAAGTTACCAGGTATCTCTCTCTGTATTTGGATTATGACTTTTTAAGGTTGCTGAGCCTGTCAGTAGATGGGGTTCTTTCCTTAGTGCCATTCCTTTGGATTTGCAAAGAAATGTGTTAATTCGTTGAAGAAAATCCGGTTTTTCTTTTATCATATAAAAAGCTTGTCTTTTGGCAATCTGGGATGCTTTGGACATGAAAATGAGTCATCTTTGGACTGATATTAAATGGGTTGTTTTCGTCTTGATTGGAGTTTCGGTTGGAGTTCATTAAAGTTAACTCAATATTGATGGATTGCTAAATTTTCTACTTGCTTTTGGAATAACATCTTTTAGAAGGTGTATTAGGAATTTGAGGGCCCTCACATTTTCATGTTAACTTTTAACAATTTTAATTGGGGGTTACTGTTTGTTTTGATCCAACTAAAAACCCTTTCTCTTTGGTTTAATAGGAAAACCTTATTAACTTATGCTCCTCTGTTTTCATAGAATCTTGAACGAATTCATGGCCAGCAATGACTTTGTATGCATCTCCTTTTTCCAACTATTTTTTTGCGTTAATGCTTTAATCTTGTTGCGTCTGTGTTATATTTCAGAAGCCTGGTGTGTTTTCTGGGTAACGTAATGATATAACTTGTTAAATGACTAAGTGAATTTGAATCTTTTAAAGCTTTAGTGCAATTGAAGTAAGTGTTTAATGTATCATGCATATATGTGTGTGTGTGTATATTCACAAAAAGAATTTGCATGAGGATTTACTCACGATGCAGTAGTTTGGGTGATGTTATATGCAAGGCTTTTGGTTGGCAGCAAGCTTTTGTCCCAATCTATGACATAAGGAGGTTTCTGCTCGAGGGGCATGTCTGGATTCATTCAGCACCATTTCTGAATGCTTCTGAAAAAGTTGTTGAGACGCACAACCATTCTGGGAAAGGTGCTAGTGTTGATAATGCTGGTAGTGGTGATGGTACGGTGAAGAGGAAGAAGCTGAAGGGTAAACGAGCTGTAGTAAGGTGGTTGAAATACTTCAGGTGGAAGAAGAAGAAAGAGTATGAAAGAATGACAGCTGAAGAAAAAATTCTTTACAAACTTAGAAAGGTAAGCTCCAAGTTTGTCTACAGAATGTTTACATATTGATAAGGAGAATTCAGGCCAGTGCTCTCTCTATATTTCTCTCTCTCTCTTGAGTGAATTTGAAGCTGGGATTTTTCTCTAGATAGTCATATATATGCTAGTTGCTATGCATTCTTCTGTGTCTAATCCTCTTTCTTTCTCTTGTTTAAATGTGTATTTCCTTCACTTGTTCTCTCTCCAGTCTCAAAAGAAAGAAGAAAGACTTGTAACAGCTTTAAAGAAGATTGAGCCTGCAGAATCATCAGAAACAACCCATGATCCAGAAATATTGACTCCGGAAGAGCACTTTTTCTTTTTGAAGATGGGCCTCAAGTGCAAAAATTATGTGCCAGTAGGAAGACGAGGAATTTACCAGGGTGTAATTCTGAACATGCACCTTCACTGGAAGAAACATCAGACTTTGAAGGTGGTGGTTAAGACATTTTCACCAGAGGAAGTCAAGGAGATTGCTGCTGAGCTCGCAAGGTTGACAGGTGGAATTGTGCTTAACATTCATGATGATAATACTATAATAATGTACAGAGGAAAGAATTATTCTCAACCACCAACGGAAATTATGTCACCCCGGGTCACTCTTTCAAGAAAGAAGGTCTTTCTTCTCTCCTTATCTCTTCACGGGGGTTTGTTTTTTTCTCCCTAATATTGAAAATATGAGAAATGGAATTGTGAATTTCAGTTTACTGAGTATACAAACTTTGCATGAATATAACAATCTCTTTTTAATTCATCCCATAAAGAAGACATTTTCTGAATGGTTCTTGGTCATTTCACACAATGGGGACATTGAAGTCAATTAGGCACAGAAGCATCAAATGAAAATGAGCCATGGTTTTTTTAAATTTCTCAAATAAAGAAACTTTTTGGGAATTAAACTGAATTAATTTTCATTACGCTGTGGTGCTGAAGACTTTTTTTTCTTTTTTTTGTTTTTCAATTTAGGAGTTTCTTCCTTTCACTAAATGTGTCTGATATGGAGGTGTTTGATTGTAAAAGGAACTGCATAAATAACCTTACACTGAGGATAAAATGCCACTGGGTAGAAATTTTTGGAAAATTACCAAGAACATACTGTTCTTGTCTCTCATCGAGTAGAATATTTACCAGTATCTTGCATTAGCATATTTTGTCATGGTTGAGTAACCTAGGTCAACTTTAAACTGATTTCTAAATCTCAGAAAAATTTAAGTTCTTTCTTCTTTAAGATTATTTTTAAAACTTCACTGTGTGACTCTCACCCTAGCTTTGAGAATGTAATCTTAATGTGGATCAAGCATGCTTCTAGAGCTCTCATTTGGTAGATTGTCAGACAGAGAGCTTGCAGTGCCTTTTTTTTTTATATGTAATTATCTAAATTTGCCTTCACATCATTTCTTTCTGTTCCCGTTGTACAGGCTCTGGATAAATCCAAATATAGGGATGGCCTTCGAGCTGTTAGGAAGTATATCCCAAAGCTTGAGCAGGACCTTGAGTTGCTTCATGCTCAAGCTGAGAATAGACCTGATCCAATGCAACATGTGCAAAACACTGATAATGACAAAATGGATTCTAGGAACATTCCAAGCGTGCAGTTTGAGGGTTCAAATAAATTGAAAGAAATTTTGGATGAGAGCAAGGAACTTTCTGAAAATGAATCCACTACAGATTCGCTTATGGCTTCAGATTCTGAGGATTTGTCAGATATTTTTGAGACCGAGTCTGACACTGAGACAGAGAGGAGGGAAGAGCGACCACTTTTTTTGGATGAATTTGATAAATTTCCAGTTGAAAGTGATAGGGAACCTGAACATTCTGAGAAGCGCCTGTGTCAAATATCCATGGGCTCAAAAGTTCCCACAGCATCAGAGAAAGATGCTGACTCACCAAACTTTGACGAGGTAGATCGGATATTTATACGTGCTGCTTCACTCTTAAAGAAAAAGAGGAGATAGGAGGGTTCATAATTAATGTAATTGCTAACATTGCTGTTGTAGATGTTTATTTACTCTATTTCATCTGTTGAGGCTTGATTGCATAGTCCTTAATGCATTGCGAAGGAGCAGTATTTGTTGGGAATCATCACAGTAATGCTTGAGTTTTCAGTAACATGGCAGTCGAGGATCTATAAAACGTATATGTGCAGACATATTTTTTAGTCGGCAGAATGTGTAGAGCATGTCAAATTCCTGTAGCTGTTGTTGCCCGTTGGCGTTGGCATCGTCTACCCTTGTTTACATGACATTTTCCACCATTAGCGTACAAATGCTAAACTTCTGGTATATGAATGTAGCTATAATAGGCATGTATGCAACACAGCAAATGTAGAACTTCCAAGAACCCGACTGCCTCCCCATCCATTTCAAAGGGAGGACATTTATGATTTTATTCTGCATTTTTCTTAAGTTAAAAGAGTAGCAGATACACCTGTGTGCGAAATTGTGCTGTACTTGCTTGACTGCACTCGCAAGCAGGTTTTTATAGGCAATTCTTGCCAACAAACAGATATTTCCTGTCTCCAATATTTTGGGTAGATCGCAATTAAGACAACAGGGAGAATTGGCTAATCGGGTTCGGTAGCCTCACTGTTCTCTCTGTTGCGGAATTAGCCCTTTTCTAGTTCAAGCCAACATATAGACATTCCCTGTCTCCAGATATAATGGGTAGACTGGAGACTGGAATTATAACAACAGTTTAACCATCTGGGAAACGGTTAAATAGAATTCTAGTCTTGATGTTCTCTTTTGCACATTTTGCGCTTTACAGTCCCCACAAAAGGCCTTGCAATATAAAATCAAGTGTGCAGGGAATGGTCCAAATTAACTTATATTTGCACTAGTATAATCACCATAGGGTAAATCCAAACGAGGGTGGAAAAAGGAATTGTACAATGTATCAGACATATTTATGCCTAGCCGGAAGATAGACTAAACATAGCTGCAATCTGAATCTTCCAGCTGGGCATCTTCAAGTTCTCTTATGTTCTCGACTATATCTTGAACTCTTTTTGATAATTGATCAGTATGTTCCTCAACAAATTTCAATATTGTGCGTAATTGTTCCTGGTAAGCCGCACACCGCCTTTTACATTTTTGTTTTTCATTGTTCAGCTCTTGGGTTAGTTCCCGTATTCTCTGATCCTTCTCATCCTATAAAAAACAAAATTATTGTAGAAGAAAAATATTAGGAAACATAAATGCATATGAGCCTAGGGAGCATTTTCTCGTCTCTATACTTGAAAATGTACAAAAGCTGAAAGAGTAATGGCTCACCAATCCTGATCCATAACTTCTGTCATCTCATATGTGGTTTAGTCTATAGAATTTGATAGCATGAACTAGTAGGCTAATCTCATATGTACCTTCATATTTACAATTAAAAGAGAACAGTAATGTACCTCACTGATCAAATTTTTGGCAGACCCGCGCCATGGTACCTTTCCTGGTGACATGAATGAGTGATTATGCTCCTTTACAAATTTGGTAACAACCCATTTTACCCCATCCCTTAAAGCCAACCTCAGCATCGCAGGGCAGCCTTCTCGAGTGATAGGTGGGGGAGGAAGAACCCTGTCTTTTCTGTACATATATTTCTTTTCACGAAAACCTTCTTTTGAACAAACAAAATCCTGACCAATTACCATATTGTTTATTCGTGATCGTCGATTATGATGGATTCGCACTGTAAAACCAGTGCGTCTGCCATAAACAACATAAAATTCCCTTGCAGCATCTCTTGACTTGAACTCCATGCCAATACATGGTTCCACAGCATTGCTTAACAACGGTAAACTCTCAGTGGACTCTTCTATAATCTTGTCAACTTCTCCCATGCATAAATCAATGTTGTCTGAAAGCTCATGATCAACCAATTCCTGCTCATCAAAGTTTTCAACTTGCAAACACCTTGCACTTTCATCTGAATCAATCCCTTGACTAGATGAGCTCTCCATTATACACTTTCTTTACCAAATTGTTCATTTATAGCTGGAGGCAAGCAAAACCAAACACCTTCATTTTCAAATTTCTCTCACATAACTGAAATTGAAAAGAGAGCAGAAAGATAAAACGAGAAATAAGAAGCAAAAGTAGAAGCATTATGAAAAGTTGAATGACTATAACCAAACTCCGATAAACAATTACAAAAGTGGATCATGAACCCTTATATCAATCTCTTACCAGATGATGACTGAATAGATAAAATAGTAAGGACTACCAGGAGTCTTAAATCCTCTCCAGAACAATGCTGAAAGACATGGTCATGCAGAAATTTACCTTCACTTACCCTTACTGATAAAAGTGCCGGGACCAACTTGACAAAATGCCCTATAATGCTATCTAAAAGATCAAATCTTGTGCCATTTTTACATCCCAACAACCTATGTTTGGATTAATCAACTAGCCAAACTCAAAGTTGAGATTCTAATTCTTATTCCATAGAGCAGAGAAATATCTATAAATCTTTTTACCAAATGCAGTTCTCTCAAGTCTTGATACTTACCATAAAGAGCTCTGAATAATATGCGAAGGATCTGTTAAAAAGGGGAATATGTAAAGCATTTTTTACGCACAGTGAAAATTCATTTATTTAAGCTCATAACCTACTTTACCAAAGCGAAGAATTAGCTGGAATTTGAACATAAGCAAGCCCACCAATGATCTCCACTTTGTCTAACATTTATTGTCCTGAAAATCATCAATTTCTTTTGGCATCAAACCGTTAAATGATTAGGCATCAGTCTTACCTATCAGCATCCCAAGTATATTAGATTCCACCTTCATAAATATGGTGGGCAGGAAAAAAGTTTTCCCATTCTTTGAAATTTAACCCTTTAGTATAAAAAAAAAAAAAAAAAACCTTTACTGCACTTTACTTCATTTGGAACTAAGTACAATTCAGAGCAACTGAAAAACAAAAATTACAGGAACTACCATCCAAATAAATCTCCAGAAAAACATTGACTTTCCTTAAAAAAAAAAAAAACACTCAGAAATGAAATATTACAAACCAATCATAAATTAATCCAAAAGGTCACACTATGTTCAGTACAGAGACACAGTACAAATACATAAGTAACACAATTGAATAGAAAATGAAGGGAAAGAAAAGTGATGGATCAAGCAAAGAACTAGCGTCTATTTGAAGTAAATGGAGTGACACGTTGCATAAAACGAAACAATGTGGCGCTGCTAAATTTTTAAATATTTGCTCTTTGGGTTTCCAGGGAACCAAACAGAAAACAGAAACTAATAATTAAAAATGAGAAAAGGATAAGAAAAAACAAATGGTTAAAAGATGATTAGTTACTTACTGGGAAGAAAAAAGAAACCCTAGGATTGAAAAAATTGCTACGGTTCAGGTGAGGCCTGCGGTGGCACTTGATGGAGGGTAGCCGTATCTTATCACATCCTGTTGTTTTCTCCTGCCCGTGCTGGGCCCCACTTTAAAAAAGAGTATACTTTCAACGGCACCGTTTCATCTCTTATTTGGAGGACACGCACGGTTGATGTTTGGAAAGTGACTGTGAAAGCAAAGAAGAGGGGACAACCTTCCGAGGCTTAATCCAGTGACCAGTGACCAGTGACCAGTGACTACTTTTAACTTTTATGTTGGGGATTGTGTTTCGGATTCTAATATGATTGGATTTTGTCTCATTAATTTAGATATTAGGATGATATGTTGTTTTATTTATTTAAGAAAGCCAATATTTCCAATATGTTTTAGGATGATGGAAATTGGGAAGTGATGGCTCCTTTATTAATTTTTTATCTTTATATTCTTACACTGAATTTGCAGCTAGGGACAGTTAAAACCTATGCATTTCTATGAGAGCAAGCCCAATAAAGTTTTGCTCTAGCTTGTCCAAAGCAATGATGAAGGGGAGAGGTGGTGAAGAACAAGACTAACATGCTATGAAGGCTTTCTTATTTGAAGAGTGATCTCAAAAAAGCCACAGAATCACATCAAGGTTGGTTTACTTTACAAAGAGCAATCTCAGAAAGGCTAATAAATCTCCAAGACTACGATGAAACTTGTAAATTTTGACTGTCGATAAAAGCAATCTCACTGTCAGCTTGGATTCCATTGTCCTTGCATTTCTCAGCTGACCATAGTCCTGTCCACCAATAATGACCATTTCAGCTGTTTGGCAGCAGGTCTCTGGTTTCTAGCTGCAGCTTCCAAGAGGGTGCTCCTAATACGGGCAAAAAGGTTTTCTCCTTCTAAGAGTATAACCATTTTCCGACTTTTGTTGAAAAACCAACCCACAATATGGGAGAGAGAATCATGAAGCTTTCATTTCATCTAACAAGATGCTTTAAAGTTCATTGCACAATGTTAAATGTTAAGCATCTTAACTAGAACAAAATGATCCTAAAGAATTCTGTACATGATTAAAAGCTTCCAAGAAACCAAATATACAAGTCTCACCACAGATAAGTTGTCAAGTATAATGCCAAGGCTATCTATGGTGGGAGAATCTCTGCGTTTCAGATTCAAGCTTCCTAACATTGTCAACAATAACTTGAATTTTTGAAGATAGTTCTTCTGTTTGCTCCTCTACGTTATTCATAAAAGTGAACAACTTTTCTCGATAAGCTGAACATAATTGCTCTTGATGTGCTAACTCCATAGTGAGTTCTTCAATTTTCTTGTCCTTATCACCCTAAAAACATGAACAAACCACTTATTTGCTGCAGCCACTGTGGATTAAAACAGAAAAGACAATTTATTGAATGGTCATTATACAAGTATATAGACATTTAACAATCATTATGCAATTAATTAGTTGTGGCTTATAAGACAAGCACAGAAAACAAACTTTCACCAGCAAACGATCATCCTTCATCATCAGATATGAGAACCTCAATAAGTACCAGAAGGAAGCTAATATTAGTTATGACAATGCAGTGTGTGTTTGTTGTAGTCACACTCAGCACACACAAACTCTTCCGAAGCTAACTCAACCTGAAGCAGGGTATTGCAGGACATCAACTATTATAGTCCGACACAAAGTAGCATTTATTTTCATTTGGGTTAATTATAAATTTGGTACTCGAATTATAGTGAAACTATTGATTTGTTACCTACAAAAAAGTTACAGTTTGGTACTTGAACTATACTTTGATCTCTCAGTTTGCACATTGATTAACTCCATTACCCAATGTGTGACGTAGCTAATTATAGCTGATAAGAACACACAAAGTGTCTAAAAAATTAATGTTATTTTTTGTTTTTCTTAAAAAAAATATTTTAGGAATTAAAAAAAAAGAATTTAGAAAACAAAATAAAAAAAAAGTTTACCAAAGAAAATTAAAAAAGAAAAAAGTTAAAAAGAGAGAAAGAGGGAATCGAGGAGAAAGGAAAGCGTAGGGAAGAGAGACGGGGAGGGGCTGACTGGTGCCAGTCTAGGCAGATGAACAACGATCTGGCTTGCGATGGCTGCACCTTCCCCTTCCCCCTTCCTCCTTCCCCCTTTCCCTTCTCACTCACTCTTCCCTTCCCTCCCTTTCCCTCTCTCCCTGATTTCTCTCTCTTTTGCTTATTTTTTAAAATTCAATTTTTTTTTGTTTTTTAATTCCAAATTAAAAAATTAATTTAGAAAAATTTAAAATAAAAAAGAAAAAAAATGACACATTCTGATTGGATATTTTTGGACACTTCACTAACGGAGTTAGCAAGGGCACAACTAGCTTAATAGAATGAAAGTTGGAGTATTCAATTGCAATTCTTTTTTCTTCATATATCAAATCGACAATTTCATTCTAGGTTGGATACCTTCATGCTATACACGTTTTTAAAATTAGAAAGCTTCCAAGGACAAGGACATTTTCAATGAGGAACAATTTAAAGGAGCAAAAGCACAAGTTGTAATGGCAAAAGTTGGCACCATAAAAAGAAGGCATCCATCCCCAGCTTTACTCAATGGGTACAGAACACAAATACTTCATATGTTAGAAATGATTTTAAAGCAAGAACTAAGTTTAATTTTTAAGTAAAGTGGTGACCATAATTTCCATCATGGTCATTAATCCTTGGGAAAGAAAGTTTCACCCTTCTAGCAGCATATTCTATAATTTTAAATTATCTAAGAAAACCCACCATACATATAATATTAAAAACCAAAACTGATATTGGCCACATAAAAATTAGGAATTAAACCAAAAACATAATATCTAGAAATAAAAGTGTTCTGCTTAATATGTAAATAAAGTAAAAACAATAAAAATAAAGGAAGAAACTCAATGATCTCAAGTTTTGTTTATATAAGAGTCAATCAACAAAGTTAGAACATTTAAACTTTATTCTTTCTTTATATAACAATTTTGAACTTCACTTTTATCATATAAGAGTTGATAAAAACTCACCGTAGTACTGAATCCATTGGCCGTGGCAATAAGAGGATGATTATGCTCCTTTACAAATCTCGTAACAACCCATTTTCCAGTCTTTTCCATCTTTACCAAGATAGTAGCTTTGCAACCTTCTCGTGCGCTAGGGCGAGGCTTCTTGTCTGGTCCAAATGTGCCCTTATGATTAGGAGAGAAGCCTTGTTTGTTACATCCTAGACGGCGAGCAAGAGTTCTTCCATCAATTCCTGAACGACGGCGCTGCATAATGCGCACCACAAATCCTACCTGTCTGGCATACTCTACGTAGAATTTCCTAGCATCATCTTCAGATTCAAATTCCATACCCACATAGGGCTCTACGATTTCTCTTACTTCTTGTTCGGCTGTCTTTTCTTCTACAGAGCTGTCTACTGTCCCAACTTCCTTATCTAAATCCACTGTGGCCAAAAAGCAATTGAATAAAACCTTCTGATGTCATCTTTGTCACCTCATTTTAGGTCAACCAAAATGACAAATTCATATAGTTTTAAAAAAAAAGTAATATGCCTTTTATGCTATGCAAATCATAAATTTTATAATGCCCTGCTTGCTATTATATATGATTCATGTCAGAAATAGTTTTCCAAACTTTTCCAATATAGTCATATACACTTCTAGATAAGCACACTAAATTCAAGTGACCACTAGTAGAAAAGGATTAAAATCCAAAGATGGAAAAAGGACTGTCAACAAGAAAGTTCTAAAATCAAGTAAATGTGCAGAAAGGTATACACAAACAATACAAAAGATAAAACTTGCTACAATTAAATGATAGAAAAATAGAAAAGCACATGATTCTATATTTTGGTTATGGAGCAAGGCTAAAGAAACAAAATAAACTAATGAACTTAGATGAAAGCATCACAGCAGGCCTTCAAAAATTAAAAATATACACCAATGGAAACTTGATGACAAAGATAACATTAATCAGAATGCCATTACTCAAGACAGTTGTTCAACCAAGAATTGGCAATATGAATTGTAAAGGGATAATAAATGATTGACTGAGGTAACTGATTACACCAAATAGCAAATGTTGCACAGATACAGACATGAATAATGGAATTGAAACAATACCCTGACCAAAAATGGTATATTCATAAAAACAAGACCTGAAGACAACAAATGCAGCAACAATCGGTAAATAACTTCGATAGAACTGGTTAGTCAATCTTCATTACATATTAGTATCTCCAGAATCTTATATAAAACCTTTTTATTTTCAAGAGCACCTACTTCCACCATCCAGCAACAAAATAACAATTTGAGGATAAACGTACCCCAAGATTTACACATAGTCAGTCCATAAACAAATCCTATCTTTATTTAGGCAGAATCACCTAACTAACTTCTTTGTATAGATCATCCAAATCCACACCAATATTTACAACTTTTTTTTTCTCCTAAAAAGGCCATTCCTTAAAATTTTCCTGGCTTAAATACTCCAAAATTGCAATTTGCTTTCACTACTAGCGCCTGCCAACAAAAACCCTAAAATTCTTGAGCCAAAGAAATATCATGCCTAAGCTTTGTCGACCTATACATAAAAATTTTTCCGTCTCTCTCAAACAAGAAAGCAGAAGAGAAGGGTGTTTTGGAGTAACTTGAGTAAATCGTTGGAGGGAATTCAGATGTTATTTAATAGTAATTATGATGGCGATGATAATAAAAATATTAAAGCTGATCGAAGCGTCAAAATGTGAGAGAGGGAAAAACTTACTGGAATCAACAGTTTCTGAGAGACATCCAAAGATAATTTGAGAGGCGATGATTCTCTGATCCGATGCAGAAAGGAATACAAGCCTCAATATGAAATGATGGATTTCACCGTTGGATTGAAACGTGGATTGCCCAGACAATGAGTTCCTAGGGTTATCTCCCGTGTAGAAGCTCGCACCCAATTCGTTGCTCCTTGGCTCACTCATCTTTTGCTTTTTCGGGTTGGTGAATTCGGTTCGGGTTTCATCATGCGGGTAACCCAAACAAACACCTCCCCTTCGGTACAATTAGAATAAATAATCAGTACAATTATAAACTTAATTATTTATTCAATTAAAACATATTTTATTTATTTTCTCTATCTTTCTTTTTTTTTCCGTGAATTGTTATTTTTATTTTCCTTTTTTGAAATTTTAAAGGCTTTTTTTTTTAAGTTAAATTTTATTTTTAAAAGTGTGTGAAGGTGGCACAGTTTAACTGCGCAGAGCAAAATCTGTTTAGACAGCTCGCGTGTCTCCGGCTCGGGACTCTCTCGCAAGATATCAAAGCCGACCTTTCGTCAACTCCGTTCGCCCTTTTGTACTTTTCACTTCAAAGCCTCTGTTGGAACCCAAAAATTCACCTCTTCGTACTACGCCGTGCCCTGCGCTTCACTGGATTTCACCTTGGATCTTCAATCCAGTAAGTCCTTTCTCTCTTCCTTATATTTCAACATCAAATACGATTCTAGAAATGAAGCACTTTAATTAAGCCTTGATCAATTTCTTTCTTTCTTTCTTTTCCCTCTCTTATCAGTGGATGAAAATCCTTCCATTGAAGAAGCTGAAAATGAAACAGGACAAAATTCAGATGGAAAAGAGTTAGATACAACGGAAGGAACTTCCGATGAAGAACCGTACGTCGGAATGGAATTTGAATCGGAAGAAGCAGCTAAAGTGTTTTACGATGCCTACGCCACACGCGTCGGATTCATCATGCGTGTGGATGCGTTTCGCCGTTCAATGCGTGACGGTAAAGTGGTTTGGCGTCGACTCGTCTGCAATAAAGAAGGGTTTCGAAAGCTAAGGCCTCGTAGAAGTGAAAATAGAAAGCCTAGAGCCATTACAAGAGAAGGGTGTAAAGCAATGATTGTGGTAAAGAAAGAAAAGACTGGTAAATGGGTGGTTACGAGGTTTGTTAAAGAACATAATCATCAGCTGGTTCCTATTCCTACCAGTGGTCGGAGAAGCATGCTCTTGTCGCAAACACCGGTAAGTTTTCTTCTTTTTTCTTTTCATTTTAAGAATATGCTTTGCCTCAGTACGAAATGGATTCTGTAAGAAATTAACTGATTATAAATTTATAATGGGTGGAATTGGTAAGAAGTATTGTAGTTAAGTTGGTTTTATAGCAGTGTGAAACTGAAACAGTACTGGTGAATGTAAATGTATTGTAGTCTTTTTGTGGAGTAAACTCAATAAAATTGAAAATTAGGTGATATAGAGCAGGAGAAGTTTTTTTGCTGTTTAAGGACTGCAAAGGCTTAAGTGGGGTTTACATCTCAATTCCAGAGTCAGTGAAGAGTATGTAAGGATTAATTACAGAATGAGGGAGAATTATTTAGAAAATAAGACTATTGAAATGTTATCCCATGCCTTAAAATAGGAACTTACATCAAATCATGTTTGATAATCAAGTTTCAAGAACTCAAACAGGCAATGTAGCGACACAAATAATTCTTACAAACAGAACTAGGTATCAGTCAGGAGAAAGTAATGTCCTAAGTAAGAGCGATACTCTAAATCAAAGCCCTGGAACATTACTAATGATATTTCCTTGTCTTTGTGAAAGTTTGAAGAAGTATGACTCTCACTGTTCTTAAGCCTTCAAAATTGGGTCAATTTCTGTTTTTACAAGTGAGGTTGGTATAGCAAAATACTCCTGCAGGGTCAGCTAATTTAGGTGAACATGTAGGTTGATCAGGGAATAGTGCAAAACCTATTTAACTGAAGCTTTAAAAAGTTAGATGTAGTTTCACAGAGCATTAAGATTTTCAACATTACAACTAGCTGTTGGGGACTGACGTAAAGACATTGTTACAATTTCCACAACTAGGGATTTTAAGACGCTGGAGGAAGAAGGTAGACTTCTAGAGCTACATATTCCTTAAATGGAAGCTATTTGGCTGGAAAGTATCAGAGAGCACCAATTTTAATAAGTTTTAAAATTTGAGCTTGAAGTTCTGCAACCCCTTGCAGTCTATAAGTTTCTGTTGATTGAACAAGCTCATTGGGGAAGGATTTACTTTTGAACAACTTGCTTGAGACTGGATCACCTTCATTTGTTATTATAGACAAGATAAGATTTCTGTACCATATTCAATTACCTGACTTTGAGCTGTTCCTCTGATTCGGAGCCACTTCTTATGTTCATAAAATTGTATCTATTGTAGGTGTTACTTTGCCATTGATAAGACTTTTGAATTTTTCTCACATTCCCAGGAAGATCGGTTCATAGATAAATGCATTGCGTGTGTAATCCAATGTCTTTGAGGGAATAGATTGGATGATTTAGGTGGGGGCATGTGCCCAACAAGTTGGTACTTGGATTTAAAAACTGAGTTGGCTGTTTCAGAGATGATATGCAGCTCTGAGAATGCTGTTAAAATTTTACATATGGACCTAAGGATGTCATTTTTTTTGCTTTTTAATCTAGTTTATGAAATTAGAGCAGTTATAAATATTTTTCTTCAATGCGCAGACAGAAGAGCTGAAAATTCAGCTTCAACAGCTTCTGAGTCTTACATGCAAAACCTGTAGATAGTCCAATTAACTTGAATTGCCTGAGTGGACTGCTATTTTCTTACTGATTGCGTAATTATGGGTTCAGTTGAAATATTTGTGTGCTTGTATGTCTCCACCAGCTTGAAATTTGGACCTGAAGATGGTCACACAATCTCCATTTTTTGGTTTTGGTGTTTTCAAGTTGGAATTCTTTTGGCCTTGCTATCGTTAAAGATCCATAGTCTATTGGACAAATTAACTATGCCATTTATTTTACTTCTCTCTCACATGCACTTTCTAGGATGAGAAAGATGTAAAGATTCGAGAATTGACAGCTGAGTTACAACGGGAGCGAAAGCGCTCTGCAGCATTTCAGGAGCAGCTTGATATGGTATTACAAGAAATGGAGGAGCATTCAAATCAGCTATCAAGGAACATTGATGATATTGTTCAAAGTGTAAGGGAAATCGAGTCGAAGCGGGTGGCACTTTCGCAGAGTTAATAGTGCTGATACAATTTCTTTCACATAGTGTTTGCTCCCCAAAGAGTGGCTTGTAATCTAGCTTCTTTTTGCCTTTTTTGTTTTCTCGAGTGAGATGATGGGCATTTATCATGTAGGCTGAGGTGAATCATCATGTTCTTGTAAGAAAATGAACGATTAAAATTAGTGCGATGTTTAGTGTTCAAGCTCCAAGGCTCTGTTTGATGTTAAACTGTTCAAGCTGTAAGGGTCTGTTTGACTGGAGTGACAATTCTGTAAGGAGTGTTGTTCGAGCAAAGAGAAATTAACACATCATTTTGGCAAAGTTAATAAAGAAGTACTATAAAATGTAAAAATTAATTTGATAGTACTTTTAATTTATTTTTAATAAATAACATATGAATGACTAAACTTTATTAAATGAAATAATAAGTTTTAAAATGTAAGAAATGTATAAAATAATTTTTAACTAATTAAAAATAACAAAGATAAAATGAAATAATTTTTAAGAGGAAAAGTTGAATCAAATAAAAAGATGAATGCAGAAAAAAAAATTTCTGTTTGCTTTATGAATTATACAAGAGTTGAATGAGAATATGCTATGACGAGGATTTTAATTAATGATAATTAATCAATAATTAATTATAAGGACTTATTTGATGCAATAAAAGAATAAAAATTTATTTAAATATTCTTAAATAGTTTAATAGCTTGTTTGAGCATTAGACCTTCTTTTTAATTTATGTTACTATCTTTTTATTGTATAAAAGCAAGAGTTGCTTATTATAAAACTATATTTTCTTTGCTTAATTCTAAAATTACAATTGAAATTAAAGGTAGTAAAATTAATTTAAATCTGTAAAACTTTTCAATTTGTCCAAGTTCAAACCTGACCTAACCCGATTTGATTAGGAAAAAATTAACAACTCAAATTTGCTTAACTTAAACTCAAAATGATTTAAACCCAAAAAAATCTATACCTGAAGTAACCTAAATCCAAAATGACCAAAAACTTGAATTGACCTAAATTCGTATGACTAATTGAAACATCTAAATATAAATTGATTTTACTTTAAAAGCAAATAACTTGAACTTTAAATAATTTAAACCCAAATAACCTAAGTGTCAAACTCGAATAACTTGAATTTGAAATGATCGAATTGTAAATAATCCAAGCAACCCACACCATAAAAACTTTGTATCTTTTCAAGCTCATCCTTCACCCATTAAGAAATTTAAAATAAAAATGTATAGAATATAGGGAGGCTCACCATAACCAACCACAATAGAGTCACCCCCAGTTACTAATTGATAATGACTTGCATAATGTCCACCTTACTAGTCTAGCTCTATTACCAGTTTCCAAATCTTTAAAGAGTTAATTAGTATCTAAAAATAGACCCAAGTTAGAAGGAAGGATATTTACAGCCTTGCATGATAATTTCTCTACCCTAACCCCAATTGATTGCATGTCTACACCGATGCCAACAAAGTTACTCTTCTGAAAAATTAATTTTAAGCTTTAAAATAATCAAAAAAACACCTTAATATAATTCTCCTAACATTTAATAACCTATCAAGTTCCAAGTTGAAAAAAAATCATTATGTCATTGGCATATTGTAAATGCAAGATTCTAACTCCACTTTATACATCATACTACTAATGGCATCAACAGCAATTAATGTTGATAGGAACAATGATAATGAACAACCTTGTCTAAATTCTTTCTGCAACTTAAATTAGCTCGTTGGTGTCCCATTCACTAATATTAAGACTAACATAATCAAAGGGCACTCTTCCATCACCTTCTTTACTTTACCCTTTCATAGCCAAATCCAATAATTCTTAATTAACGCTATTATAAACTTTTGCAAATTTCACTTTGAGCAACAACTCACCGATACCCTCCTGTATCAAGAAGTCAATCATTTCATTCTCAATAAAAGCACAATCAATAGGTTGCCTCCTTTTAATTAAAACGAACAAGTTATTATCAATCACCTCCCCAATAACTAATTAGTCTGTTTTTACTTAAATTTGTGGGGTTGGTAATCGTTGAAATAAATGTTCTAAAAGAGCAATAGCAAAAAATTGTCATAAAAGAGGCATTAACACTTTCTTTCAACCTACAATTACTACAAAAATCACCCATAAACTCCATCATTTCACCTTTTTCACTAGCCAATGGCTTTTGAAAAAAATTCAGATTATACCCACCCAATTCAAGTGCTTTGTTGGTACTGCATCTGTTGATAGGCTCCCAAACCCCTTCTTCCAAAAAGGATAACAACCCCTCTTTTAGTTTTTTTGAAGTTGTAACTCAAATCTTGCAACTTGACCACCTCAGTAGGATTATACATGTTCTTAAAATGCTTGGCGACCTCACTCTTAAGACATCAAATCATTAACTATTTTGTCAAGAACTTTGACTTTCTCAATATAATTAAATCTTCTTCCATTACATGAAAGAACTTTATATTCCTATCCCCTTTAAATACCCCATTCACTCGGGATTTCTTTGGCCATTTCATTTCTTCTACTCAACAAAGTGCACATAATTCTACCCTTTATTATTTTCATCTGTTTGTAATTCCCCCTTCTGACACTTGCCTTCCAACATTTAACTCGTGTATCTCCTCTTGTAAGCTGGATATTCTCTCTTGCATGCCCCCAAAATTCATTATCTGCCATTTCTTGATGAATGGCTTTAGTTCTTTAAGACCTTCCCACACATCAGCCTCTTGGGTCCCTTGTTCTTTGTTTGCCCATACTACCTCATGGAAATTATTCTCCTCAAGTCAATAGTTGAAAAACTTGGACGATTTTAGGTCTTAATTTACCTCATTTGGCCCCGATAGCATCTGGTTGTGATAAAAAATGGAGCTTGGCAAGCAGCTTTGTAATAAATTATTGTAACACCTCAATAGGTCTGCTTCAACAAGAAATCTTTCAAGTTTGTTAAAAGTAGCATTTCTATGTTATTACTCCATGTGAAATTGTTTTTTCTAACAGGAGATCAACCGACTCTAATTCATTGATGCACTCATCAAATTGAGAAGCAGATCTCCATAATTCCATCTCCCTTCAATTTCTCAATATGTTAAAAGTCCCCCCTAAACACCACCAAGTGTTTCATGCCGCGTGATTGAAAGGCCATCTGAGGTGCCAGACCATCAGGAAACAAGCCATGAGCGGGGTGCAAAGGTCACACTTGCGAGCGATAGAGTTGCTTGCCTAAGCAGATAAGCTAGGCACTCAAGCAAGTAGCAAGCCAGACAGCCTAAACGCGCAGGGCCACAGCCACCTAGCCAACACCCACACCATTGGGTCAAACTGCGTGCAACATCAAGATAGTCTGTAGGCCGACTTGCAAGCGTGCTAGTTTCATGAGCCAGTAGTGTGTGGGCGTGCCAATCGCACGAGACAACACAATGCTCCGTAGGGTTCCCAACCGAAAGGATTGCCTAGCGGGGAAAACTCCCGCTCATAAGTCATAAAGAGCCAACCCTTGGCCATTTTTCAAACGTGCACAGTAGAGTTAGGCATCTGGGGGTCTTTTGCTTATAAATACCCTCTCAAACACATTTGCACATGACTGACTGATTTTCGTCGACCCTTCCTTTTCAATTTTATGCCCATTTCTCGTACACCTATTATCTTTGCCAACAATGTCAACCAAAGGATTCGATGTCTCCGATCCCTTCCCCATTTTAACCATACCATCATTATCCATATATATTGCCATATTGATTTTAATCCTTTCATATTTTATTAATTAATGATTTAAAAATAATTTTTTAAAAAGAAAATAATTAAATCACTTTTATTTGAAATTTGCATATAGGGTTTGATAAAACAATATAGTCATTTTTCAATGTAATTAGGTTTTGCACTTCTATATTGACACTAAATAACAATGATATTTTTATTGAAAGGATAAAAGAGTCATAAGATATTATCTTACTAATTTCAATCCGTTCATATTCTTTTAAACAATGATTTGAAAATAATTAAATCACTTTCGTATGAGATTTGTGTATAGATTTGATAAAATAATGTAGTTTTTTCAATGTGATTAGATTTTGCACTTCTATATTGACAATAAATGAAAATAAAATAATATCAAATATTTGTAATCTTTAGATTACCAATTATTTATAATTTTTTCAACGGTTATACTGGTTTTATAATTATTTATTGACTTTTGAACTTGTTCAATTGATAAATATATTCTTTGTGGTGGAAAATGATAGAAATTCTAATCCAATGTTATATATTTCTATATTTTTCTTTAGATTTCATTTTGAAGTTAGAATTAGATATTTGAGGTTATTTTGTCTTATCTAATTTTGGTTTGATATATATGTATATATATATATATTATATAATAGTAACTATATTTTTTGATATTTTTATATTTTCTTGAAATGTTGTATACATTTTTTTTCCAATAGAATAACACGAATAGGTTATTTATTAAAAGAAGCTTTTGGAATTATAGTATATGTTTGTGTGTTTTTTATTCAAGTATATCTGAAAATACAAAAAGTAAGAAAAATCTAGTATACAATAGGGAGAGTAGCTAGAGTCGAGGCTCCCTTCTAATGCCTCTTTATTACCAGTAAGCATACGGATTTATTAATTAATTAGCACGTATATTCTATACGTAGTCCGTAGTAGTAGTACTACTACTACACTTCAGCATATATATTCATCTCCCGGAGGTATTGCTTGTTTCTTAAACTTAAACATTCTTGACGGAAGTAAATATTGCATTCATCATAAAGGGCACGTAAATAGATAGAGCAAGAAGCACAATGGCAATCAGAGCTCCCGTAGCCCTCCATGCGTAAACACTCCCACAGGAGAGCTTCCCAACCTTGATTTGGATCACATCAACCATCGAAATGGTTAGAAATATGCACCCGAAAACCGACGCCCACACCGATAGCAACAACATGCTTGCCCTAATAGCCTGGTTACGGCCACTCTTGAAGTCTTTTTTCTCCCAGATTGTGACATGGATTTTCAGGGCCTTGGCTACCAGGCTGGATAAGAGGAAGCAAGCAAACGACGCCACTTCGTTTACCACAAGCCGCTTCGCATGTTCCGGACCAGCGTCACACTCGGCGCGGTTCTCCAGGCTGTGCTCTCCTTGACGTGCGAGGGATAAGCCCACGAAGACGGCTAGTGTGAAGAGCGAGTTTACATT